TCCCTGGGTTTGGCTCTCTGGCCCCTCACAGGGAAAGGAGAAGCTAAGTTAGGGCACTTAAGGCCTTGGGTTCCAGGAATGTCAAGGGAGGCCATCAGGGAGGGTCCCACTGCTGAGCACATCTCATTGCTCTGAGTTCTCCTGGGACCCAGGTGCGCCCCATCCTGCATCAAAGACTGATGGATCGGACTGAAAAAGTCTGCTCTGGTCTCAGATAGGCCGGGTCCAAGCCTTGGTCTCAGCTTCCTTCTCTGTCTGGACATGGCGGTGTCACCTAATGTGGCATTGTCAGGACGGAGATGGGCAACAGCAGACTAGACACTATCCCCCGGGCTACCTGTTGGGCTCAGAGCAAAGCACGTGCAGCCCTTCCCCTCTCCACCCCCATTCCAGTCCCTTCTCCCATATTGACTCTTTTCAGCCTCACAAGAGTCCAGCATGGGGAGTGCCTTATCACCCCCACCTCACAGGTAAGGAAGCTGAAGCCCAGAGAAGTTTCCACCCTCGCCTAAAGTCACCCAGCTGGAGCAAGCCAGAGTCAGGATCTGAACCCAAGGAGTCTGACTCCAGGCACTCACATGCGGGCTGCTGCTGCTGTGCTATCTGACGAGATGCTGCTTCCTATGCTGAACCTGCACTCTGAGCCTCTAAGACAGGGGCCTTCTGAGTGCTGGGATCCAAGATCCTATGTTTCCTGCTTCCCTTGGCCGTGACACCAGTGGGTGCCCACCCCTGGTTACTGTGGGTGGCATGGGAGAAAGAGCTCACTGGCTGGGTGACATCCTCCTGTCCCCAGCAGATGTGTCTGACATGGGGGCATCTCTGGAGGTCACGGCCGCGGGTGAACAGAGCCCCCTGAGGCGCTGCCAGGAGCCAGGGTTCTTCCAGTCCACCAGCTTTCAGATGACGCTTCCAGGAGTCGTGGTGCCCAGAAGGGGCCTCAGGGCTGCTGGGGAGAAGAGGGGAGGCAGGAGCCCCCAGCTCTGCTTTTGTCTGGGTTGTCTCTCTAGTGTCCCTGTGAGATGTCTGGGGCTAAATAAAGGATCTTGACCTTGTGGAACAGACCAGGAAATGTGGCCTGTAAGGAACAAGTGGCCTGAGGTGACCTGGCCAGCCAGGGGTCATGCATGGACCTGGGACTGGCCAGGGAAGGCCGGGGAGGCTCTTCCCGTATGTCCAGGGGCCGGGGGGGTGTCCTCAGGGACATCTGGCTTCTGTCCTGGGCCAGGAAGGAAGCTCTGGGAGACAGATGGCCCTTGGGATTGCTGAGGCCCCCTCACTCTTTCCCTGGGGCTGCCTTCTGAGTCCTGGTCCTCTTCCTGGCCTGCCAGCCACCTCCTGGCTGGCTGCACGGTCCCTTGGTGGCCCCATCCTAGTCAGGTGTGAGAACTCTGGCTGGGTCTGCCCAGGAGGCTCCTAGGATGTTCTGGGTCCTGGGCTGCCAGCAGAGAAGGACTGCAGGATGCCGGGGAAGGTGGGATTGGGGGCCACACTTGAGGCCGGGCCTGCTAGGCCCCTGGGTGCCAGAGAGATGACCCACTTCCCACAGCTCGGACCATGTCCTTAAACTCCTGAGCCTGCTGCGGCCACTCGCTGTGAGGACAGGCCCTGCTCCCAAAGCAGCTGTCTAACACCCTCCCCAGGGCACCTCCAAAGCCCCCTCTGCCCCAAGCCTACTTCTCCATCCCTGATGTGTTTCCCTTGAACCCCACCCTCCCAGGCTTCCCACACACATTTTCCTGCTGTCCTGTTTCTAAGCTCCTCACATATCCAGAAAGCACTGGTGGAGACAATCCCCTTCTTCTTTTTAGTTTTCTTTTTGAGACGGAGTCTCACTGTATTGCCCAGGCTGGAGTGCAGTGGTGCTATCTCAGCTCACTGCTACCTCTGCCTCTGGGGTTCAGCAATTCTCCTGTCTCAGCCTCCCGAGTAGCTGGGATTACAGGCACACGCCACCACTCCTGGCTAATCTTTGTATTTTTAGTAAAGATGGGGGTTTCACCATGTTGGCCAGGCTGGTCTTGAACTCCTGACCTCAGGTGATCCACCCGCCTTGGCCTCCCATAGTGCTGGGATTACAGGCATGAGCCACTGCATCCAGCCCACAATCCCCTTCTAAAGGCAGGTGGTCTCCCCAGCACCAGGGCCACACGGCCACAACACCCCCACAAGTGCTGGTGGGTGTGGGCTGAGACCATCCTACATGGGGGACACCCTGGGAGGCCAGGAATTTGCAGGCCAAAGAGGGACCCTGGAGAGTGGAGGACTCACCTCAAGGCACTCCGGAAGGGGCGAGGAGCCCCTGGCATCAGGAGCTGCCAGATCACCTGCCATATGCCAGGTGTCAGGAGATGCAGAGGACACAGCCCCTGCTCTGTGGGTCCCGGGTGCCGCTTGAGGGAGACAGTTCCAGCCTAACTTGAGAATTGAAATAAAGTGCTGGGGCACCAGGGGGCTTCCCGGGAGAGGTGGCCTCACAGGAGCACCTGGGGGAGCTGGGAATGTTGGGATGTGTGCAAAGGAAGGGCTTCCGAGAGGGGGCCGGGCAGGAGTTGGAGAGGTCCTGGAGCCGTCGCTTCTCTGTGACTGAGCAGGTGAACTGAGCCCCGGGTGCAGGCCCCCTCCTGAGCATGAGGCCCCGTGCCATTGTCCTGGCAGCGAATCTGTACAGCTGGCCCAGTGGCTCCTCAGGTACCTCGAGTTTCTGCTCCCTAACCCTGGCCAGGATCCTGCATGATTTCATGAGGACACAGAGGCTCAGAGGCCACTAAGGGCTCCTGACAGGAGGTGCCCTCTCCTGCCCAGGGTTCCACCCTGACTGCCTTGCCTGTGGGGCCCATGCATTCAGCACAGAGGCCTCAGGGAGAGGCTCCCTCCTGTGCTTATTCTCCATTTCCCCCCCCTTCCAAATGCCTACGGGTCTTCAGGACCCCCAAATGCCTTTCCTGGCTGCTGGTGTCTCCCTCTGAACCGCCCCGCCACCGTGGCGCAGGCAGCAGCCACGGCTCCCTTGGGCCTGGAGTCTGGGGGTTCTGGGGATGGGGGTAGGGACGGTGTGGAGGTGTGGCCGGCCAGGGGAGCCGGGGCCTAGAAGAACACACGCCTGCAGGAGGTCACAGAGCAAGGGAGTGGCTGGCCCCACAGGCCCGTCTCCCAGGTGCCCAGCCTGCAGCCTGTGCTGTCCTGCTGAGCCAAGAGAAGACACTGGGGGTGTTTGTGTTGGTTGGCTGTGGGGTCCCTCCCAAGGGAAACCGTTAGTCACCCTGGCGCTGGCCGGATGTGAGGCCACCAATACCAGGAGAGCATGGGAACTGTGCCAAGGGGTGCAAGGCCTGGTGGTCACCAGAGGAGAGAGAAGTGGGATGGCAGAGGCTCCAGAGTGAGTGTGATCCGGTCATGTGAGAGGAACTGTGTGTGTATGTACCTGTGTGTGCGTGCTGGGTAACAGGTGCCACCACATCTGTGCTTCAGCACAGCGACCTCAGGGGGCAGTGTGGGCCTGGGTTAGGGTTAGGGCTGGTCCTGGTTCCACACCAAAGGTGGCCCTGTCACCACCAGCAGCCACCACACATCTCAGCAGCCCCAGCGGGAAAACAAGATGAGTAAGACCTGCCTGCTTTCGGGTCCTGGGGAGAGGAATGTAAAGAACCCGGGAGATGGAGAGGACCCAACACACAGGGGCGCTGGCATCCTAGCTTTGCCTGTTGGAGGGGTGACTCAGCCCCCGAACCTCAGTTCTGCTACCTGTGAAATGCAGATAACAAAGATGGATGCTGGCCTCACAGCTCTGGGCCTGCAGGACAAGCTGGACAGAGGGCAGAGGGTGTTAGTGTTTTCACTACTATTACTGGTGGCTTTCCTTCCCAGCCTTTCTGGTGGGCGGTCAGACTCAGGGCAGAACTTTCTCAAGAAGGCAGCCGAACGAACTCCCAACAGTTTCTTCCAGTGGGGAGGACAGAGGGAAGGAGAAGGGTCTTCCAGGCACCACTGTGGACCCAGGACATCGGCTGCATGGTGGCAGGGGCTTGGATGAAAAGTACAGATGACCTGACGGAGCGTTGCCCTGGCTTCCTCCTCCTCCCCGTTTTAGAGGTGCTTCTGTTTGCAGACGATGGGCTCCGGGGAGGCTGTTTGCAGAGGCTGGGCGCTCAGCCTTGCTTTAGGACAGTCTCAGAAAGTATGGGGCCCTCAGGGGTTTCCCAGGGGGACTCCATGCTCTGCCCACTCTCACTCCACTCTGTGCCCTGACTCAGCGGGAACAGAGGCTTGAGCTCCAGGCATGGTTTGTCTGCGGCTGCCAAGCTGGTGCTGGACATCTGCAGAGTCCCTGCGCCTCTCTGCACTGGCCCTGGCTCTCTAGCCATCTGGTCAGCAGGCCATGGGCACGTCTCACCTCTGTCTCCTCCCTGGAGCCCTTGGCTCATTCTTGCTGGGTCTCCCTTGGTATCTTCACTTGCTTAGGCCCCTGGGTCTTAGGGACTTTCTGAGGCTGGTGACCTGGGACACTGTTGTCCTAGAAGTTTAGCCTTTCCCTCGGTACAATGGAGCCGTCAGACTGGACGCCTCATACATCCCTGACCCCATTCTCAGGAGCCCCAGGCAGAAGTTGGAAAGGCGGGGCTGGGGCTGTGCCACCACCAGCCTCCCCGGTAACCTCAGGCCAGCGGCTGGTCCGTCTGGACACCCAACATGTAGTCCCCGGTTCTGGACTGGGGAAGGCGGCCTCCCTGCTCGCTGCTCCTGGGCCGCCGCCTCCGGCAGCAGCCAACAGGCAGCTGGGCTGGCCTGGCCGGGCTCCAGAGGCGCAGAGCGGGTTAAAGTGTGCGCCAGGCCGGCCGGCGCGGGCGGGGGAGCGGCCTGGTGGGAAGTGTGAGTTCCTCCCCGTCTGCCTGACAGCTATAAAGGCGGCCGCCAGCGCAGAGCCGCCACTGGGCTGCGCCCCTCCCGGGAACCCCCTCTCTTGGATGCTCTTTGAAGTGGGAGAGGGAGGCGGTGCAGGGGAGGAGGGGAAGGGGAGAGGAGGCCGGCCGCAGCCTCTGCACTCAGGCCGCCCCCACGCGTACAGCGCACCTGGTGCCGCCTGCCCTCCGAAGCTCTTGCCTCTTTCTCTGGGAGGACAACCTGCTGACCCCAGACCAGGTAGGCCACCTTGTCCCTGTCCCCTTCACGTTGTAGCCCCCACCAGGCCAGCCCACTGCTCAGACTGGGGCTGGGGGGTGGGAGCACCCCGTGCCCTCTGGAGTGGTTACATAATGTGGGGAGGCTTGTGGGGAGGGGTCCGGCCCGCAGGGCATGGGCAGGGTGGCCTCTCAGCACCTAGCCTTGTGCGCCTGAAGCTCTGTGTGCACCACAGACCTCTCTGCTGCCGCCAGCCACTGCTTTTGGAGCCCAGGGAGGGGATGGATCCCCGTAAGCGAGGTCTGGCCTGAAGCCAGCAGTGTCTGGAAGCCTTAATGAAAAGCAAGTGTGAGGCCGGCTGGCACCTGTCTTCAGCCGGCAGGCAGAGGCTGGGGCACCCTTTAGCCAATGGCACCGTGGAGGGGGCTCCTGCGGGTGTGAGTCTGGGGGTGCAGCTGGAGGTCTGCAGGGGAGGTAGGTGGGGGCAGGCAGCAGGGGCAGGGTGTCAAACTCCAGGGTGCACGGCCATGTTGTCTGAGTTGCAATGGTATCCTAGGAGTAACCGCTGGAAATCTGCAGGTGCCGGGCCTGCAAGGAAGCTCGAGGCTGCTGAGGAGGGAGGGGCAGAGCTGGAGCCGGCCTCTGGGCTGGCAGGGGTGAGGGGTGACCTCTGCCTTCTTCTCCTGGAATTAGCTGGGCATGGAGTGGAGTCCCCAAGTTTGCTAGTGTGCTACACTACTGTGAGGCTTTGAGCACATTGGGTCCCCTCTCTGGGCTCCAGGTTATGGGTGCAGGCTGCATGGTTTCTGAAATCCCTTCTTTAACTTGCTGTCAAGTGACACTCAGCACCTGAGCAAGCCCTGGACAGAGGCCATGGCGGATCTGTTCTTCCTTCTTCCCTTCCCGACCCTCAGGGCAGGGTCGGCACTGAGGAGGGGGTGGTGAGGGCTGAGGGCCCAGAAGCTGGACAGTCTTTCCATTGGACTTGATTTGGACAAAACACCTGGCAGGTGTTTTGAGCCAGGGGTGCTGGCTGTTGGGAGGGAGGTCAGCCATGTGGCCCTGGACTGCTGACATTCAGGCACAAACTGCACCTCCTCCCACCCCACCCCTCCCCCAATTCCATCTTCTCTCCAGGGGGTGGGGAGGTGGCATAAGTACCTGGGTTCTACCTCACCTGAGTGCTGGCTGTTGCTGGATGCTGACTGTGGAGGCTGCAGGTTCCCCTGGGACCTGGCCAAGCTTATCCCCATGTACTCACCCTCAGCAGCCAGTGGCATCCTCCTACAAGGCCAGCACGGGCTGAGCAGGTCAAAATCCCAAGGTGCTCCAGCCACGGTGCTGGACTGAACCCAGGCCCGTCCCTTCGAACTGCAGCCTTTCCCCACACGTGGGCCCCCAGCCTCTCAGCAGAGGCTGGCTGTCTCCACAGCCTTTCTCCAGGGGTTGGAGGACTCGAGGCAACGCATGGCATGCTTCCCTGCACCCCCTTGGATCAGGGGTGGCACAGGCTTAGCACGCACAGCACCGCTGGGTGTCTTGCCTGCAGCAGGCATTGCTAATCATTCATCAAGCTCTTTGTTAAGCCTAGACTGGGGCGGGGGGGGGGGTTCATCCTTCCCCCAGGGTCTGCCAGGCAGCCACAACCAACTAGTCCCAGATACCTCTGAGGCCTGGGCACTGACTGGGCCCTGAGGGCTCTCCCCAAAGCATACCCTGGTCATCTGGAAGAGAAACAGAGCTGGCCTGGTAGTGACAGTGGCCTTGCTTCCTAGGATGGATGGCAGACGGCAATGTCCCTGCTGGGCCTGGTCCCTGCTGGTTCTGGTGGTTGTGGCTAGGGATGCAAAGTCAAGCGGGGCCACGGTGAGTGCGGCGTTGTGGTCTGAGGGCCCCATGCCAATCCCCTTCCCAGGTGCTGTGGTCACTCCCAGATGGGCTGGCTTGGAGGGGGCTGTGTGGGCTCGTGCCCTGGGTCCCAGAGCCCCTCTTGGCTCCCAGGACCTTGTTCCCAGAGCCAGTCAGACCAGCTCTGAACTGGGCCCTGGCTACTCTGGGGGCCCTGGCTACTCTGGAGCCCCTGGCAATTTGGCAGGAGAGGGCAGAGGGGGCTGAGTGCTTCCCTTCCAAGCAAAGGCCCCAGCATGGCTGGTGGGCTGTGTCCTGCAGAACTCAGTGGGCCCAGAGAAAGTAAGGGCAGTTAGGTGTGGCCCCAGGAGCTGGCCAAGTCCCCAGGCCATCCTGGGCCTTAAGGTCCGGGAGGACCTGTGGCCCATGGTTCCTTGGGAGTTCCCTCCAATGCCACCCAGGAGATCTGAACCCAGGCTGCAGAGTGACTCTGCGGGGGCCCCAGCCAAGGGGCTGTGTCCTCTGGTCCCGCTGGTGATACCTTGGGGCATGGGGTGGGGGGCAGGCTGGCCCTGCTGGGCACTCGAGCCTTCTACTGTCTTGGGGGGCCTCTCACCCAGGACAACAGCCCGACATTCAATAGCCTGGAGGGGGGCGCCGACGCCATGGCCTTCTGGTGGGGGGAGTGGACAAAGTGGACGGCGTGCTCCCGCAGCTGCGGGGGCGGGGTGACATCCCAGGAGCGGCACTGCCTGCAGCAGAGGTGCGAGGTCGGGCATGTGGCCCCCAGGGGCTGGCATGAGGGTGGGGCAGTGGGCAGGAGAGGGTAGCCACCCTTCAGCCTGGTGGCATCTCACCTGGGAGTGCTCTCGGGTTGGGAACAGCAAGCTGGGTCTCCGCATCAGCCTCTGCTGGGCGTGGGTATGGATGGATCCTGGCACTGGCCCTGGGGTCCTTCACGCTTCAGGGCATGCGGGAAGCCCCTTCATGAGAGGGCGGGAGCTGTTTCTACTGGTCTGTCCTAGAGAGGAGACCCACCTTGCCTTCTCTTCTGAAGACCTGAGTGAGGTCTTCAGAGAACGCCAGGGAGTCCCTGGAGAAGCACAGGCCCTGCAGTGAAAGCCTCCGCTGCCAGACAGACCCAGTTCCAATCTGGCCTATGTGACTCCCTTGCTGTGTGACCTTGGGCAAGTCACTTAACCTCTCTGAGCATCAATTTTCTTATCCATGGCATAGAGAGTATGCTGGGCCCACCTCATACTTCTGAAAACACAGAACATGTTTGTGCACCCAGGCCCAGACTGGCACACAGCATTGCAGTTGTTTCAATTCTGTGTACTGAGCCCCTGTGCTGTGTGGTGCTGTTGTGGAAGTGAATTGCATCTCACTCCCCCTAGGCGCTGGTGTGTGTCCGGGGTTGGAGTTGCATAGGGAGGAAGGAGCCCTCTGGGTCACGGGAATTGGGAGATTCTGGACCCCAGTGGCTGTGCGGCCAGCCCAGATGGCATTCCTGAAACTCTTCTGCAGCCCTCACTCTGAGCCTGCATCTTCCTGCCAGGAGGAAGTCCATCCCGGGCCCCGGGAACAGGACCTGCATGGGCACGTCCAAGCGGTACCAGCTCTGCAGAGTGCAGGTGAGGCCTGGCACGGGCAGGGGCACCATGGCTGGCTCTCCTCCCCGTCATCATGCAGGTTTTAGGGGTTCTTCCGGTGGCCCCTGGGCCTCCTGGGCGTTCTGTTCTGGGTCTGCCCTTCCAGGAGAGCCCAGGGGCAGGGTTGAAGAGAAGGCTGAGGGGAACCTGGGCTAGGACAGAGCCATCCTCGGTCCAGACCACTGTCCCCGTGCGCACGCCTGCTCAGCAGTGTTGGGGTAGATGCCTTGCTCTGCTCCGGGAGCTTCAAGCGCAGCCTCCAGGTTTGGGGCCTCTGCTGGCAGTCCCACTTTACTCACAACATCTGTGTGCCTGGCACCCACAGGGAGGCTGAGCAGTTGCCAGGCCTCCCAGTCCCGTGAAACAGTCCCCTGGGCTGCTCTTGGAGCACTTCTGCTCCAGCCCCCATCAGCTTCCGTGGGTGGCTGGCTGAGACTGGGGAGGAGGTGCTGACTCTGATCAGGCCTCGGGGGCATCTCTCAGTGGGGTCCTGGGCAGTTGGAACCTGAACACCTTTCCAAGGACCGCAGGGCATGAGGCTGGAGCATGCCAAGCTGGGATCTGGAGCTGCCAGGCTGGTTCGTGTGGCTTGCCTGGGCAGGGAAGGCAGAGAGGCTGGGGGTCTCTGGGGGCGTGTGCGCACGTGCCGGGAGTGAGGGGCTCGAGGGAGGCAGGTGACCACAGCTTCTGTGTTGGCATCACCTGGTCAGGTGCCCTCCTAGAGCGGTGCAGCCAAGGGTTGGGGGAGGGGCACTTATGAGCTCTGGCATGAGAGGGACCCAGGTTTGAGCTCTGGCCCCAGTACGACTAAGCTGGGTCCCCCAGGAACTGTCTGTTGTCTGCACACTGGGTTCCTCTTTATGAAGCCACGATCTTCCTGATTCAGGCGGTGTGCATGGCCACAGGCCATGTGCCAGGCCCTGTTCTGGCATGGTGGATACATGGTCAGGGCCTGCTGAGGATGGGGTGGAGGGGAGCACCCATGCCAGCCATAGTGGGATCATGTCCCCTCCACTGCAACGCTGGGAGAAGGCATGGTGGGGAACGGGAGAGCTGTGTCTAGGGCCGGAGGAGGGCTGGCGTCGGGGGCGGAGCTGCCCTTGCCTGAGTCCTTGCTCCCTCCGGAGTGTGTGGGAGCACCAGGCAGGCGCATGAGAGGCCACTCCATAGGCCCTGGGCCCTGCACGGCTGTCCTGGCTGCAGCTACTTCCTGCTTAGCCTGGACAAAAATGCCTTTGTCGGGCCGAGTTCCTCCTGGAGCCTCCCTGTCCCCTCGATTCCCAGGAGTGTCCGCCGGACGGGAGGAGCTTCCGTGAGGAGCAGTGCGTCTCCTTCAACTCCCACGTGTACAACGGGCGGACGCACCAGTGGAAGCCTTTGTACCCGGGTACCTGCCGCCCTGGGGACCCACCTTGCAGGGAGCTGACTGAGCTTTGGGGGTAGCCCTTTCAGTACCTGGGACCAAACTTGGCGGGTGGGCAGGTGGGGAAATGGAGGTGGTCAGACAAAGAGCCAGGAATGAACCTGGGTCTCCTGAACCCTGGCCTAGGGGTCTATCCCCTCCCCCGTGACCCATGACATCAACGGGGGAGGGGATAGACCCCTAGGCCAGGGTTCAGGACAGGTCATGGGGCTGAGTTCCCTGCAGGCCTGACCTCTGAGGGCAATGGTGACTCTCCCATTTACTGCCTCCTGGGCACTGACAGGAACCAGCCTAGACGGTCCCACGTGGGGACTGCCCACATAGTCCCACGGGAAGCAAGTAGTTCAGGCAACGGTGTAGATGCTGGGATCATCCTTCTCCTGCTCACCCAGCAAGGGCTAAGGCTGGGGTGCCCAGGGCCAGCAGCACGGGGTGTTGAGTTGGCTCAGACCTGCAGAGGGAGAACCCCAGCTTGGGTTTCAAGCCCTGCTCCCCACTCACAAGGAGGCAGAAACTGGAGCTCACAGTGTCTGGGCTGAGCCCAACAACCCATCAATTTCTGCCACTGAGATCGGGGCAGGTCCCTTCTGTTCTCCAGGCCTGAGTTGTCCCATCTGTGCAATGGGAGCTGTCTCAGAGGGAGGAAAAGGAAGTCCCCTGAATCCCAGCTTGCAGCCCACTTGAGACCTTCTGCCTTGTCTCCCCACCAGATGACTATGTCCACATCTCCAGCAAGCCGTGTGACCTGCACTGCACCACCGTGGATGGCCAGCGGCAGCTCATGGTCCCCGCCCGCGACGGCACCTCCTGCAAGCTCACCGACCTGCGAGGGGTTTGCGTGTCTGGAAAATGTGAGGTTGTTAAACGTTGTAGCAAAAGTACCACCGGTCTCACTGCGCCGCCTGCCCGCCCGCCCGTGGGAGGCAGTGGCGGCCCCGGGCCTGGCCACAGCGCCCTCCCAGCAGCCCTCTCCTTCTCCTTTCCTGCAGCCCATCGGCTGTGACGGGGTGCTTTTCTCCACCCACACGCTGGACAAGTGCGGCGTCTGCCAGGGGGACGGTAGCAGCTGCACCCACGTGACAGGCAACTATCGCAAGGGGAATGCCCACCTCGGTAAGGCCGCAGCGCGCCCTGGAGTCCAGGCAGAGGAACCTGGGAATCGGGGGTCCTGCCTGCATCCTCCTGGGTACCACTGGGCAAATCCTTCCCCTCTAGGGCCACCTGATACTGCATCCAGGCCCAGGCAAGCTGGCCTGGTGATTGTGGGCCTCCACTGGCTTGCAAGAATGGGCAGCTTTTTGTAGAGGACCTTCTGGGTGCAGGTAGGCACTTGGCTTAGGGTTACATTTGCCCTTTGAGACCACCTGCAGGGAGGTGTTAACACCACACTTTTTTTTTTTTTGAGACAGAGTCTTGCTCTGTTGCCCAGACTAGAGTGCAGTGGCTCGATCTGGGCTCTTTGCAACCTCTGCCTCCCAGGTTCAAGAGATTCTTGTTCCTCAGCCTCCTGAATAGCTGGAACTACAGGCATGTGCCACCATGCTCAGCTAATTTTTGTATTTTCAGTGGAGATGGAGGGTCTCCATGTTGGCCAGGCTGGTCTCGAACTCCTGACCTCAAGCAACCCACCCACCTCCATCTCCCAAAGTGTTGGGACTATATGCATGAGCCACCATGCCCGGCTAATACCACACTTTAAAAAGGGCGAAACTGATGCCCGAGACCCATTCTCCACTTGGATATGAGATTTGACTCTGGGTTGTTGGATTCTGGGGCCTGAGTTTCAGAGGCTCCCTGTCAGCTCCACACTGACCCAGCCCAGATCCCTTCCTTCCCTTGGACAGCACCTGTCCCTTTCCTAAGCTGCGGGCATTTGGTCTGACATTCGTGTCCAGCTCTTGCCCAGCCCTCATGGGGGTGGGTATCTGGCATGGGACAGCACTTTCTACTTTTGGAGGGATGTCACTCAAAATGCTTGGTGTTCAACTGAACACACTTCTGGTTCTGAAGAAATGCTGAAGGAATGGAACCGGGTTATTGCAACTTCCAGACCGAGGAAGGCAGGGCAGCTTCAGACCCACTTAGCAGATGGGGAACAAGGCCCAGAGTGGGAATAATCTGCCAAGGTCTCAGTGAGGCCAGCTGAGTCTGGAGGAGAACCAGGCCTGTTAGGGCCATGGAGGACCCGGCTGTGGCCTGAAGGTGGAGGGAACGGCCTCAACCTGCCACGTGAGGGGTAACTGTGGCATGTGTGTGTCGGCTCCAGGAGGTGCCAGTGGGAGTGCACTGGAGAGGGTGGGGCTTGGACATGCCACCTAGGGACCAGCATGCCGGACTAACAAGGGGTAGGGTTGGGGCAGAGCTGCCAGGCAGGGGCATGAATAATGCGTGCTGGGTGTCCAACAGGGCGAGGTGGGCAGAGGCCTTTCCTTTGGAGGCCTTGCTACAGGAGGCGTGAAGCGAAGGCTTCTGATTTTCCTCCCTTCCTTCCACAAACCTGCTCCCACAGCCTCCTGCTGGACCCAGGGCACGCAGATGGAGAGCAGGTATTCAGGTAGCACATGTCTCGTAGGGCACCTGCTGTGTGTCAGGCACCATGTACACAGTGAGCCTGAGAGATGGGGCCCCATCCTCATGGGACTCAGCCTGGGCCCTGGGGCTGATGTGCCGACGATCCCCCTAATTCTGTGTGCTCACAAGGTAACGCATTCGTGCCTGGCAACAGCTTTACGTGGCTGGCACTATTCCTGTTGCTGAAATGTGCAGAGACAGGCAAAGAGAGGTTAAATAACTCGTCTCAGGTCACACAGCCATGAGAGGTAGAACTGGGGGTGAACCTGGGAGCCTGCTTCTGGCCTGCAGTCCTCTCAGCTGAGCCACACTCCTTCCCCCAACCAGCCATGCCTGGTACCCATCTGGGGGCCGTGGGATGGGATGGGGCATCAAATTCTCAGGAATCCTGTGAGCTACTTGCTAATTTGAAAATTAAAGTACAACAGCCTATATTTAAATACATTATGTTTAAAGCAAAGTCACCATTTCCTAATCCTTTGACGTCTATAACTTTTTTTTTTTTGAGACAGAGTTTTGTTGTTGTTGCCCAGGCTGGAGTGCAATGGTGTAATCTTGGCTTTCTGCAACCTTGGCCTCCTGGGTTCCAGCAATTCTCCTGCCTCAGCCTCCCAAGTAGCAGGGATTACAGGCGCCTGCCACCATGCCTGGCTAATTCTTTTTTTTTTGTATTTTTAGTAGAGATGGGGTTTTACCATGTTGTCCAGGCTGGTCTTGAACTCCTGACCTCAGGTGATCCTCCTGCCTCGATCTCTCAGAGTGTGTAACTATTTTATCTATGTGGCAAAAACACCATATACGGGTGTTCTGTAGCCTCTCTTCCCAGTGGCACGCCCAGTGACATCACGTTGTAATGTAAACAAACACAGTGTTGGCCGCTTGCTTCAAACTTGTCTTGAAACCCAAGAGAAAGGAAAAAATAGTTTTAAAGCACATTTTGAAGTTAAGCTGCCCAGTTACAGTAGCTTGAAATTGGCCACAGTAGGGGTGTTTACGCACGGAAATTAACCAGTGCTACAAGTCACAGCTCCTGTTACCCCATGTCTCCAAAGAGGCTGTTTTCCAGAGCACTGCTGGCAGTGAGGGACAGGTCATCCAAGGGTGCCTCCAGGGACCTGTAGGTGTGGTGGGGTTGGGGGAGGGATGGCAGGCAGGTGCTGGCCTGCAGGAGACACTCACCCGGGCCGGGAGATGCAGAGTCCTCCGCTCCCGGAGGGATCCAGTGAAACAGGCATCAGGCACCAGGAACCTCCGACCTGGAGAGCCCCTCCTTTCCTGTCCCAGGGAGTACTAAAATCTCCTTCTCCTGGGGCTCCTCCCACAGCCACCTGCTGGCAATGCTCTCCTTCTCTGAGCACCTTCCCTCCAGACCCTTGGGAGGACTCTATGACTGCCTTCCCACGGGCCTGGGGGCCTTGAAGACAGGTTCTGAGCCAGCTGCCATTGCCTGATCTGGACCCCAGCCTGGGGCCTGGCATTTAGGAAGGGCATAGGCAGAGTTGGAGATTCCATCTGCGGCTCTTCTTGTCCTTTCTCACCCACGTCTTTGAGCGTGGTGAGCCTTGAACATCACCGTGGTGTTGAGAAGACAGGATTTTAAAATGGCAGTGCCAATGCACGCAGGATGCTGGCTGGGGCTCCCTCGGTTGCCTGGGGTCTCCTGGGTGACACATGCCAGAGTGGGACTGAGCTCCACTACCCCCAGTGTGTTCTAGGTCCCTGTGACCTTCGCTGTACCTCAGGAGGGGCTGGGGCAGGCACGGATGAGCCCTCCCATGGCCTTGTAGGATGGGGTGAGCCTGGGAAGGTGCCCAGCTTGGTGAGTCAGCCTCTGCGACAGGACAGGGCTCAGCTGAGCCACCCAAGTGGGTATGGGGGGTGGGCCAATCCTTAGCCACTGCTCACCTACCAGGAACTTGGAGCAGGCGTGGGGCCTCCAAGGGTGCCTTCCAATCAGGAGGGGCTCACTGTGATCCATTTGCTTCCAGGTTACTCTCTGGTGACCCACATCCCAGCTGGTGCCCGAGACATCCAGATTGTAGAGAGGAAGAAGTCTGCGGATGTACTAGGTGGGTGTGCAATGCCTGGTGGCTGACTCACTGAGCTTTTGCTTGTGTGGCATTGTGCGTGGCAGAGAAGGAGCACTTAACCATCCCTCCCTCTAGGACAGGGACGGGCCAGTGCTGTGGGCGTGGCTGCAGGAGCCAGAATTGAGCTACCTCTGTGGGTATGGCTGGGGTGCTCAGAGAGGAGCCAGCTTTACCTCTGTTCATGGAAGACCTTGAACTCAGAGCTGCTGGACCATGGGAGGGCGGTGATGTTGGGTAGTGAGCTCCCTGTCACTTGAGAGCCTAGCACCAGCAGAAGCTGGGGGCTGCTGCAGATGAGATCCCTGTGGGGTTCCAGGAATGAGCCTCAGGAGGTGACAAGGTCAAGTTAGCACTGGGAGGAGGTAGGTGGCCAGTCCAAGGTCACGAACAGCAGAGAAGCAGAGGTAGGGTTCCGACTTGGGGTGCCCCATGCTGATCCTCTTGCCGTTAGACAGTCTCCACTGGGAATCTGGGCCGTGGGAGGGGAGTCTGCTAACCCGAGGATTCCGGAGTTATTTCTATGATGGACGGGGTGGTTAGGCCCTATCTTGGTGGCAAATTTTGAGTGTAGTGACCCTTGGTGGAAAATTGTGGAAGGGCCCTCTGTGAAGCTGGAGCATTGGCCGAACAATGTGCTGTGTCTGCACCCCTTGGGCCACAGTGGGCAGGTGCTGACACCTGTGAGCTGCTCTCTGCTCTGCCCTGCCCTTCATGGGGCAGGCTGGGGACCCAGGCTATATGGGGACACTGTTCTTGGACACAGGGGCAGTCCCAAACCTGACACTAACTGGGCTTACTCCCCCCACTGCCTTCCACTCCTCCTGAGAGCCAGGACTGGTGGGGTGAAGCCCACCTCCTAAGGGGGTACCAGAAGAGGAGGCTTTGCTGAAGGTCTTCAGGCCAGGACCCACCTTGGGTTCTCCTGTCGCCTGTCCAGAGCCTCAGGGCCAGCCCTTCATATGTGCCCTGGGGTCTGAGTGCCCCTGCCCCAGTAGGTCTGTGCTGCAGACAGCACCCAGGGCCCTGGGGTCTCCTCCCTGACCCGAGCGGGGAGCTGGACCTCTCGCCAGGCCGCGTGCTTTGTCGCTTGCTTGCTGGGAGAGTGGAGAGGCCAGGAAACTCTGCGTTCTCTGAGCTGGCTGCAAAGCTCTCACTCTTGAAGCAGATGCGTGGGAATACCAAGGGTGGCCTCAGAGTGTTGGGAAAGCCGCAGGAAGGAGGGTCATTACTGTCAGGAAACAGGTTTTGGATGAGAGCCGCAGATGGAACCCTGGGCATATACCTGGGAACCGGGCCGAGACAGCCAGGCCCCGGCACGCTCCCATCCGCAGGACTTGGACTCGAATTTGCGTTATCTTCTGGCTTTTCTATGTGAAGGGGTTTTTTGAAGCAGACACGTCCTGCTTGTTTCGTCTGCCTGATAATAAATTAATTGCCCTGGCTCCTCTGTTCATGTTGCATCCGGAATTTGGAAGCTGATCTCCTATTCTCCCACAGGCCAGTTCCTGGAACTGGCTTTAAGGACACCCTTTGGAAGATAGAGTGTCCCGAGTGCCTAGTTGGCCTCCTCCTTCCGTCCCCAGCCCTGGAGTCCCCCTGACTCTTCTCACCCTCCTTGTCCCCAGAGAGGAGCAGCTCCCCCAGAAACCCCACCAACTCCGGGTGGTTTTTCTGGCCTGCAGGGGTGGTGGGGAGCTGGGGCTGTGGGGCTTCCTGTGCCATTTCTTTCCATCTTGAGCTTCCATCAGGCTGGAGTCAGGCCCTGGGAGTGCCCACCCACCCGGCCTCAGGAAGAGGGAGATGGAGACCGAAGCAGGCAGTCCTGGTCTGATTGAGCACCTCAGTCAGGCCTGGGCGCACAGACTGACTGGGTGAAGGGTCAGCGTAGCATAGCCCTGCCTGCAAGGGCAGCAGGAAGTCTCTGCTCCCGTGGAGAGGACGAAGCTGACCAGCTCAGGGCGGTCCTCAGGAAGGGCCTGGTGGTCAGCACTCCCCATGCCAGCCAGGTCAGGGCAGCAGTGCCACTCTGTGTGGATGATGGGAGGGGCACCGAGGTCCCTTCCACATCATCCAGGTGGGGAAGCTGGAAGCAGTGCCTTGCCCGGGGCCACACAGTGGGTCTGCTTCGGAGCCGGACCCCTGCTGCCTCATGTGGGCCTTCCACAGGCTGCAGGCTGTCCTGCTCCACACCAGGCCCCTTGGTCATGGTGCGAGCTCATCACTTTACAGCCCCTCAGCTTCTTCAAAGACAGCCAGAAAAACAGGACCAAAAGGGTCCCCAACCAGTCACATTCAGTGTCTAGATGGGTCCTTCATTGTTGATTTTGGGCTGAGAGGAACCTCCTCCTCATTGCACCTCCTCCTCATTCTCTGGCCGGGCTGCCCATGATGGGAGTTTCCTGTCTCTGGGGCATTAGGGCCGGGGTTATGGAGGGCAGGGCTGGTGATGGTTCCCTGAGCCGGTGACACTGGCTCCTCCCCCAGCCATTCTAGCCCTGGGCCCATGTGACCGGCAGCTTTGTCCTTCCAGCTCTTGCAGACGAAGCTGGCTATTACTTCTTCAATGGCAACTACAAGGTGGACAGCCCTAAGAACTTCAACATCGCTGGCACAGTGGTCAAGTACCGGCGGCCCATGGATGTCTACGAGACGGGAATCGAGTACATCGTGGCACAGGGGCCCACCAACCAGGGCCTGAATGTCATGGTGCGTGTGCCGCAGGCCTTGGGGGCCACGGGCACGGCTTCCCCAGAATCCGGCCACAGGTGGGGCTTCCGGCCAGTGATACCTCCAGGGCCACTGTGAGCGTGCGCCCGGCAGCCTCACCACTCTGCTTGGGCCTCATGTTCAATCACTGTTACTCATTCACTTGTTCTTTCACTAACTCCCTCATTCATTCATTCAGTCAGATGTTGGTTCATTCACAGGCTCCCATTCACTCATCAATTCATTAATTCATTTACTCATTCACTTCTTGCTCAGCCACCCACTCTCTCACCCACTTCTTGAAATCATTCATTCATCCATCCATTCACTGCAGCTGGCTTCCCTGGTGGACCAGCAGGGGTTCTGTGCTATCTCGTTTCCTGCTCTTTGGGAAGTCCACAGGGAGCTCGGGGCACTAAGGATGAGGCTGGACCCCTCCCCAGCCCATGGTGGAGGGGTTTTGCCCCTACCTAGCTTCATGCTCCACCCTCCATGGGCACTGTGGTATTTGTGCCAGGTCCTCAGTGCCAGGGCTCAAGGTAGTGCTCACGGCCTCTCCCCCTCCCCTGACATGGCCTCTCCAGGACACTCAGGACTTCTGGAGTGGAGCTCAGGGCTTGATCAGTGGGTAGGAGAGAGTGTGGGCCTGTCATGCCCGGCTTGCCATGAATTCTATGGCTAGCATCTGGAAATGGAGCCCCTGGTGGCTTGGTGCCTCAGCGCCGAGAACATGTAAAGGACTTGTCATATTGCGGAAGTCAGGTGACATCAAGATGGGCAGCTCTGGTGCCCATCAAGGCTTGCCGGCCTTCGGAGGCCAAAGGAATACAGCAGGGATGGAGCCCCTCCATGCCGCCCCCACCTGAGCTGTTTGAGTTTCCAGATCTCACTGTGGTGGGTTTCATTGCCTCACATTGTAGGTAAGGAAATGTGGGCACAGACAGGTGAGTGACTTGCACAGTCATGGAACTGTAAGTGGCACGAGTGGGCTTTGAACCCAGGTCCTTCTGGTGACAGAGCTTGCTCTTTGTTTAGCTGATGTGCTGGAGGGGTCTCTAACAGAGGATGGACTTCCATCTCCCTGCACTGCCTTTTGGTGGAAGAGCTTTCCTAGAGAGCAGGGAATCAAATGGGCCCACCCATCGTTTGTGCTTACCTGGCCCTGCCCTGGAGCTGTGTGTGGAGGTGGACTGACCACCTGCTTTCGCCTCCTGGCTGGAATGACTGTTTTTTTTAGGTCAGGGCCCCAGGAAATAGACTCTGAGATGGGGGTTTTTGTGCAAGAGGGCTTGGGGGAGCAGTGTCAGGAGCGGTCTTGGGAACACTGGTGTGGGCGGGAGGGGATGGGACTAGACAGAAGGAGCCGATGAGCTGTGACATAGTCTCATCAGGGCCTCAGCCCATCCCAAGGGGGTCAGCATCATCTCAAGTTGGGGCAGGAGGGCATCTCATATTACCAGGTGTATTTGCCCCTTGTGGGGAGCATAACCTGGGGAGAGACAGCTCCCTCTGGCTGAGGGAAATGCCCGGGGTGGGGCACAGCTGTGAACTGTCTCATGCCCACCCCAGATCACAGAAGGGTGGGGTACAGGGTCCACCCCCTGCATGGCTTGGACCCACGTGCTTTGCTCAAGTCTGCCTTGGCAGGGAACAGCTCCTCTAGATTTGCGTTGGTTTCTTTCTGAGGGAGCCTTACAGGAGGAAGCTCAGTGGGATGAGCTGCAGCTGGTGTAGGGGCTACAACCGATACTTAGTTTCCTTCTTTCACAACGCACTCTGTTTCCCCTTAGCCTGGGTTAGCACTTCCTCGGGGCCGGGTGGCTATCCAGTGAGGGGACCCTGGTCTCCATGGCCTTCTCAATCTGAGGCTGCTGCCTTCATCCGGTTATCTTCACAAGGGGCCTCTGCCCAAGAGATACCAAGAGATGCCCAGGGCATCAGTAGGTGCCACACAGATTCTTTGGCCCCAGGGTCAGACAACACCTTTCCGACTCTGTTTTTTTTTTTTTTTTTTTTTTAGATAGTGACAGGGTCTTGCTATGTTGCTCAGGCTGGTCTTGAACTCCCAGCCTCAAGTGACCCTCCTACCTTGGCCTCTCAAAGTGCTTGAGTTAAAGCTCCATCTGGGCCAGCCCTGGCTACCACGTGTAGCCGCAGCCTAAGGCATCATGAAACTGTTGCTGTGTCTTTTGTTGGAAACATCCCTGCTATGCAAACTGAGGCCTCTAGACCACAGATCCCAGAGCCGCAGGGATGGGGAACACAAGAGCCCCAAGTGGTGGCTAGGGATGATAGCTACCGTACTTCCCCTCCTGCTTCCCAGACCCATGTCGTCCACGTACTGGGCACACAGCACCAGGACTAGGCATGGTCAGGGCCAGAGGGTATGAGACAGCTGTCAGCAAGGGGCCCAAACTCCCCATCCAAGACTCTGGTGCCCACATCCCTTTCTAGCTCACAACTTGATCCAGAGCTGAGCCGGCTTGGTATGAGGGTGCAAACTGGAAGTGGGATCTATTTGACTAAAGCTCCATCCAGGGCTGGCCCGGAAAAACCACAGTAAAGGAAAATCCTTTGATTTATGTGGGTAGTGCCTCAGAGGGGATGCCCCATCCTCACAGGTGTGTTGCCTCTCAGCACGCACTGTGGTCTCCTCCCCTCCATGGCTCCATCAGGCCCAGTGTTTCAGGGTGTTGCAGTATACGGCAGGCCCCGAGGCTCTCACAGTCATGTACCCACTGTGGCACCCCATCTGCTATCAAGTAGGTCCCTGTCCAATGCCATGTTGTCGGTACCCTGTCTGGGTCAATCAAATGCTCGGTGAGGGCATCGGGGCTGGCTGAGGTTCTCTGGGCAGGACAGGCAACTTGTGTGTAGGACCAGATTCAGCACTTCCCCTTCTGGGATGGATGGGGTCTGATGTGATTAGCTTGTCACCCAGTAGCTGAGTGGCCTCCTTGAGAGGTGATGCTGTTTACAGGCTTAGTGTGGGTGCCAGAGATTGGACGCTCCAGAGTGGAAGGAGCTATGGTGGCTGTGGCGAGGGAGAAGCAGTGCGCTGGGGCCACACGTAGTTTCCCTCCCTTCCACCACACTGATTCATTCGCCCATTGTGCCTGCAGCAGGGTGACTGATGCCAGAGACTAGCTGTGCCTGGAGGCAAGGCCATTCTGTCTTCCACTGGGGTGTTGAGCACCTCTCGCATGGTGATACTTCCCGGCACAAATTAACAAATGAAGGCCTCCGTCCTTCATGCCCAGTCCTCAGATTCAGCCACAGGTACCTCCTCCAGACCTCCTGGTCCCGTCTTTGATCTGTCCCATCCAGGCTCTTGACCAGCCAGCCAAGCAATTTGCCACCACCCATGATTCAGTTAATATTGTCATTTTGGGCTGCTCTGCCTCCATTGCATGGATGCTGACATCACATGCACTGCCTGAAGCCCATCGGGGGATTTCCTTCACTGCACTTTTTCCAGGCCTGCCCTGGATGGAGCTTTAGTTAAGTCATTCCCACTTCTGGCTTGCACCCTCATACCAAGCCGGCCCAGCTCTGAATCAAGTTTGGCCATTTTTCTCTGATCTCACTTCGCCGTGTAAGAGCAGCCCCACACAGCCATAGCTGTGAGCTAAAAAGGGGATGTGGGAGCCAGAGTCTTGGATGGGGAGTTTGGGCCCCTTGCTGACAGCTGTCTCGTGCCCTCTGGTCCTGGCTGTGCCTTGTCCTGGTGTAACACTTCCATCTTACGATGGATTGCTGCTGGCAGAGCTGAGGGAACTCAGATCGGAGGCAGCTCTGGCTGCGTGGGTCGCCTGATGTCCCGTAGCTCAAGTGTTCCATCTCTAGCAGGGCCTCACAGCATGCCAGAAGTTTTTGCAAATGATGTATATTTATTTGCTGCAGATGGCCTTGCTCCAGAACCAAAGGGTTCTATGTTATGCTTTCCCTACGAGCTTTCCAGAAATTCCATCTGACGTCTTTCCCCACCACAGATATCTCTATTCCTATAGTATCTGCCACGTCATACCACCCACGTGGCAGGCTGCTTATCTCACAGTCTGGACCTGCCACAGGGCCCCCTTCATGCAGGATTCTACCCAGAGCATCAGCTTTTAATGAAACCCAGCACAGGAATTAAACAGATATTCTTGGAGATGGAGTCTGCTGGCTCCAGAATTATTCTCCATGGGGAGGGTATGAGACACCATCATTTCTCCTTTCCTCTCAAAGAGATGTCTGGCCACTGAACCCTGAAATTTCTGCTAATGTCAGGGGCTGCTGAATCTTCACAGGGTTGAATCTCTGCTCCTCTGGAAGACAGGCACTTTACCAAGACCTCATCTGATCTGATACGCATGGTGCCAGCAGTGCGGAGGACCAATGTCCAGTGCTTGGAGTAGTCCAGATGCTTTTCTTGTGTATTGTAATTGGGAGCGGGAGCGTAAGTGCAGCCCAGGTCAAGACTGTAAATGTATACGGTTGTCCGGCCCAGGTGAATGAAACAGTATCTGGTCCACCTTCTTGACAGGGATAGAAAAGAACATATTTTCCAGGTCGGTGGCTGCTTAGGATCAGTCTGAGGCCAAGTTGAACTGCTCTAGGAGAGACCATTCAGTGGTCACGCCCCGGCAGTGGAGGCCGCCGCTTGGCGGAGGGTGCAGCGCTCATCCAGGCTTGGGTGGCAGGTCCTCCAGGGTCTCTCTGGTTATTGCAGGGACTAAATGATAGTTAAGTGTGGGTGTGGTGGGATGGCTCTGCTTGCATCCTTTAGGCCAGCCCGCGCCTTCTCTATGCTTCCAAGTGCCACCTAGTAGCGTGGCAGTACCTTCCAAAGTTCTCACCACTGTGCTAAATTCTTTGTTGTGAGAGGATGGGCCTGCAGTTCCTGAAGGCTGGTCCTGCCGTCCATTGGTGTCCAGCCCTTCTCCCAGGACTCCCCTGACTGGGTGAGAATGTGACTTGGGCCAAGCTACCGATCTGGTGGCCAGGAGAGGAGGCCAGGCCAGGTCCTGTGGGAGGCCCGCCTGGCTGTGAAGGCAGAGGTTTCTGTGTCATCTTCAGGCTGGGGTAGTGCTGGCTTTAACAGGGAGGAATGGGACAGGCCCATTTTTCAGGCCCTGAAGGCTTGGGACGTCTGAGATTTGAAGATTTCCTCACACCCCAAGTCTCAAGGTTCCCTGCTTCTGGCTGGACTCTGTCCTGAGCATAGCAGGCCCAGCAGAGTTGGGAGAAGCGTGCTCCCTGCTCCTTGCAGGTGCCTCTCCCTATCCTGCCTTCCGATTGCAGGACACAGGGGTGTCTTTCTCTGCTGCTGCATGGACCCTCAGCCTCAGCCTTTCCGTGCCATTCTTCCATTCTTGGGGTCCTTTACTTCCACAATCCTTTGTAACTTTTTAACTCCTACCCCTGCCCCAGCCAGCTCTCAGACACTTGAGCTATTGCACCAACAGTGCCTTTCCTTCCCCTGGCATCTCCTCCCGGTTCCCTGGCGGTGAACCTTTTCACAACGGCATTACCGTCTTCTGGGGGTCTCTATGCTCCAGGCACGCCCGGGTGGGCCCTCATCACCTCTGCCAGCAGGTGATCCTGCTCCAACATCCCATTCTAGAGTCAGCTTCCTAGGCCTGCCTGCTCCTGACACCAGCTGGTTTTGGTTGAAATCTCTGGAAACAGCAACTCCTAGAGGGGCAGTAGGGGTCTGCGGAGGGAGAAGCCAGGCTGCCCCGAGGTCTTGACATCGGCCTCAGCCCATCCCTCAGGGAGCTCTGCAGCGTGGATGAGCCTTCAGTGCTGTCTTGAACTGAGGCAGAGCCTGGGTCTTTGTATTCCCACATCGACCTGCACGGAGGGGCTCTGGGTTGGAGGGTGGTGGGAGAGGGTTGCTGTGATTACTCAGGATTCTGGCACGTGGTGAGGGCTTTAGTTGGCTTCATTACTTACATTCTCCGCATATAGCGTGCCCCTTGCTGCCTGTACCCAGGGTGGGCCATTCCCCACACCACACTCGCCCAGCCCCCGCCCTGTTCCCAAGCTTTGACTTGGATGCTTCTGGGGCAGGGACACTGCACTGGGCTGGGAGAGGCAGTGTGGTTCCCTGGGGGGCTCAACTGAGTCCCAGACGGGATACTCTCTATAGCTCTGGTGGAAGGGGATTGTGGGGAAGGGGCTGGACACAGTAAGGAGGGGCTGGGGTCCCACATCTCTGTCCCTAGGTGTGGAACCAGAACGGCAAAAGCCCCTCCATCACCTTTGAGTACACGCTGCTGCAGCCTCCGCACGAGCACCGCCCTCAGCCTATCTACTACGGCTTCTCCGAGCCTGCCTCCGAGAGTGCTGAGAGCCAGGGCCTGGACAGGGCCAGGCTCATGGGCTTCGTGCCGCACAACGGCTCCCTGTACGGCCTAGCCTCCTCAGAGCAGCTGGGCCTGGACAACCGGCTGTTCGGCCACCCCGGCCTGGAGATGGAGCTGGGCCCGAGCCAGGGCCAGGAGACCAACGAGGTGTGCCAGCAGGCCGGCGGCAGGACCTGCGAGGAGCCCCCCAGGGGCAAGAGCTTCCGAGGTAACCAGGAGGAGGGGGCCTGGGAGGCTGCCCGGGGAAGGGGTCTTGGGGAAGGGGTCTCAGGCCCTTTGCAAGAGGAGGTTCCTAACAGCTGCCAGCTGCCGGCAGATGTCCTCTGGGTAGGCGCAGAGTTAAGGACTTGGGATAGGATCTTGAGTCCATGCATTCTTTGAGGTAGATGTGGTTACTCCCATTTGATGGATGGGGAAACTGAGGCTTAGAGAGAGGGAGTGGCTTGGCCAGGTCACACAGTCCACTGTGGAGGAGCTGGGAGTCAACCCTGGGATGGTCTGACCTCTCGCCCACCCCGTCACTCACTCAGCCAGCACCTGGTCTCACCTTGGCTTGGAAAACACAGGGAGCAAAAGCTTCGGGGGCCCCAGACAGCCCTTAGTTGTGGCCATGTCACTTTAGCCTCTGCCTCTGTCCTCACAGGCCTCCTCCTCTGTGACCGTGTCTCTGTGTACTCTTCCAATAGGGATATTTCTAGTCCACGATGATGTCATCTCGAGAGTCTTAACTAATCACATCTATGGTGACCTCATTTCCAGATAAGCCCACGCTCCGAGGTTCCAGGGGGTGTATGAGTTTCGGGGGGATGCTGTTCAGTCCACTGCAGAAGATGGTTGAACTCCCGTTGGCAAGAGATGGTCAAAGCGGGCCTCATGCCTCTATCTTGGCCAAACTGTGTCCTCTAACTGGGCAGAAGCTCTCTTCTGGGAGCTTCTTGGTTCATCCTGGTGTCTCCAGCCCCCTCATCCAGGTCCCCTCCCCAGGCCTTGCCCCCAGGGCTGGGGCACTCATGGTTGGACCACCTGTCTCCTCTCTAGACCGCAACACCACGGGGACGACTCTCACCGGGGACAAGGATGAACAAGAGGTCGACACCCACTTCGTCTCCCAGGAGTTCTTCTCGGCGAACGCCATCTCTGACCAGCTGCTGGGCGCAAGCGCTGACTCGAAGGACTTCACCCTCAACGAGACCGTGAACAGCATCTTTGCTCAGGGTGCCTCGAGGAGTTCCCTGGCTGAGAGCTTCTTCGTGGATTATGAGGAGAATGAGGGGGCTGGCACTTACCTGCTCAACGGGTCCTACCTGGAGCTGAGCAGTGACAGGATTGCTAACAGCTCCTCCGAAGCCCCGTTCCCCAACGTCAGCAGCAGTCTGCCCACCTCGGCCGGGAACAGGACTCACAAGGCCAGGTAGGAGGTACTTCCTTGAGCCCTGTCCAGGGCCCTCGGGGACAGGATGGGGCCAAGGCCAGGTAGAAGGTGAGGCCCTACTACAGGGGTTCTGGCCAGAAGAGCTGGGGACCTAGAGGTAGAGGAGAGAGGGTCCCATCTTTCTGGGATCCTCCACTCACCGCCCTATGGATCTGAGCACAAAGTCAGAGGCCTGGGCTGGAGTGAGCTTTCCCCAAAGGTTATGTTGGTGGATTAGGGTCAGGGCTGAGCCCTGTGTGTGCAACTGATGTGGGGAAGGGAGGCAGGAAGCTAACAGCTCTGAGCATGCCTTGTAAGCCAGGGACAGAGCTTGGCATTTTTTATGCATGGAAACGTCATCACCACATCCACCAGTAGTGGTGGGGTTGCCACTGTGGGCTTGGACAGGGTGAGCGGTGTGGTGTACTTGAGGTCAAGGTTACAGAGCCCGAGGACCTGGGGACCCTGAGTCCTAAGCCTGGACAGTCATGGCACACACACCTTTAGGAGGAGGCAGGCCTCTAGACAGCTCCCCAAGTGCGGCGCGCTCAGCCCCAGGCTTCAGCAGAGGCTGGAGAGGATCTAGTGGGTTCCTCCATGAGCGGAAAGACCCTGAAACCAGGGATGAAGAGCAAGGCTGGCATTGCAGCTGGCAAGGGCCACGAGAGAGTCCACCCGGGGCCAGGCCTCCAGAGCCAAGGCCACAGCTGGGGCTACATGGGCAGCCATGTCTGGGGACGCCTGCTCAGTCACAGCCGGGGATGTCTAGATAATCATAGCCAGGAACACCTGGACAGTCACAGCCGGGGACAACTGGACAGTCACAGCCAGGGATGCCTAGACAGTCATAGCCAGGAACACCTGGACAGTCACAGCTGGGGACGCCTGGACAGTCATAGCCAGGAATACCTGGACAGTCACAGCCAGGACACCTGGACAGTCACAGCCGGGGACACCTAGATAATCTAGATAGTCATAGCCAGGACACCTGGACAGTCACAGCCGGGGACACCTAGATAGTCTAGATAGTCATAGCCAGGAACACCTGGACAGTCACAGCCAGGGACACCTGGATAGTCACAGCCAGGGATGCCTAGATAGTCACAGCCAGGAACACCTGAACAGTCACAGCCAGGGACACCTGGACAGTCACAGCCAGGGACACCTGAACAGTCACAGCCAGGGACGCCTGGACAGTCACAGCTGGGGACACCTAGATAGTCTAGATAGTCATAGCCAGGAACACCTGGACAGTCACAGCCGGGGACACCTGGACAGTCACAGCCGGGGACACCTGGACAGTCACAGCCGGGGACACCTGGACAGTCACAGCTGGGGACGCCTGGACAGTCACAGCCAGGGACACCTGGACAGTCACAGCTGGGGACACCTAGATAGTCTAGATAGTCATAGCCAGGAACACCTGGACAGTCAGAGCTGGGGACGCCTGGACAGTCATAGCCAGGAATACCTGGACAGTCACAGCCAGGACACCTGGACAGTCACAGCCGGGGACACCTAGATAATATAGATAGTCATAGCCAGGACACCTGGACAGTCACAGCCGGGGACACCTAGATAGTCTAGATAGTCATAGCCAGGAACACCTGGACAGTCACAGCCGGGGACACCTGGACAGTCACAGCTGGGGACACCTAGATAGTCTAGATAGTCATAGCCAGGAACACCTGGACAGTCACAGCTGGGGACGCCTGGACAGTCACAGCTGGGGACACCTAGATAGTCTAGATAGTCATAGCCAGGAACACCTGGACAGTCAGAGCCGGGGACGCCTGGACAGTCATAGCCAGGAATACCTGGACAGTCACAGCCAGGACACCTGGACAGTCACAGCCGGGGACACCTGGATAGTCTAGATAGTCATAGCCAGGAACACCTGGACAGTCACAGCCGGGGATACCTGGACAGTCACAGCTGGGGACACCTAGATAGTCTAGATAGTCATAGCCAGGAACACCTGGACAGTCACAGCCGGGGATACCTGGACAGTCACAGCCGGGGACACCTGGATAGTCTAGATAGTCATAGCCAGGAACACCTGGACAGTCACAGCCGGGGATACCTGGACAGTCACAGCTGGGGACACCTAGATAGTCTAGATAGTCATAGCCAGGAACACCTGGACAGTCACAGCCGGGGATACCTGGACAGTCACAGCTGGGGACACCTAGATAGTCTAGATAGTCATAGCCAGGAACACCTGGACAGTCACAGCTGGGGACGCCTGGACAGTCACAGCTGGGGACACCTAGATAGTCTAGATAGTCATAGCCAGGAACACCTGGACAGTCAGAGCCGGGGACGCCTGGACAGTCATAGCCAGGAATACCTGGACAGTCACAGCCAGGACACCTGGACAGTCACAGCCGGGGACACCTGGATAGTCTAGATAGTCATAGCCAGGAACACCTGGACAGTCACAGCCGGGGATACCTGGACAGTCACAGCTGGGGACACCTAGATAGTCTAGATAGTCATAGCCAGGAACACCTGGACAGTCACAGCCGGGGATACCTGGACAGTCACAGCTGGGGACACCTAGATAGTCTAGATAGTCATAGCCAGGAACACCTGGACAGTCACAGCCGGGGATACCTGGACAGTCACAGCTGGGGACACCTAGATAGTCTAGATAGTCATAGCCAGGAACACCTGGACAGTCACAGCCGGGGATACCTGGACAGTCACAGCTGGGGACACCTAGATAGTCTAGATAGTCATAGCCAGGAACACCTGGACAGTCACAGCCGGGGATACCTGGACAGTCACAGCTGGGGACACCTAGATAGTCTAGATAGTCATAGCCAGGAACACCTGGACAGTCACAGCCGGGGATACCTGGACAGTCACAGCTGGGGACACCTAGATAGTCTAGATAGTCATAGCCAGGAACACCTGGACAGTCACAGCTGGGGATACCTGGACAGTCACAGCTGGGGACACCTAGATAGTCTAGATAGTCATAGCCAGGAACACCTGGACAGTCACAGCTGGGGACGCCTGGACAGTCACAGCTGGGGACACCTAGATAGTCTAGATAGTCATAGCCAGGAACACCTGGACAGTCAGAGCCGGGGACGCCTGGACAGTCATAGCCAGGAATACCTGGACAGTCACAGCCAGGACACCTGGACAGTCACAGCCGGGGACACCTAGATAATCTAGAGAGTCATAGCCAGGAACACCTGGACAGTCACAGCCAGGACACCTGGACAGTCACAGCCGGGGACACCTAGATAATCTAGATAGTCATAGCCAGGAACACCTGGACAGTCACAGCCGGGGATACCTGGACAGTCACAGCTGGGGACACCTAGATAGTCTAAGCCAGGAACACCTGGATAGTCACAGCTGGGGATGCCTGAGCAGTTGTAGCTTGACCTAGAGGAGACTGAGGTTGGGAGCTTCACTAGGTCAGGGACTGGCTGTGAGCAAGGTGACTCCAGACCTGCCGTGTCCCTGCTGGAGCTCAGTCCCTGGTGCCAACGCCCCCAGATAGAGTGTGGCCACCCTTGCAGGTCCCCATACTTTCAGCAACTCGCATGTGCCTGGGGGCTATTTTAAACAGGTGGTCATGGGGGCTGGAGGCAGGCACGGGCCCACTGGCCTTTGTTGGGCTTTATATTCTGAGGTGCAATCCAAGCCCCTTGACTTCAGACCCAAGCAGGACTGAACCAGCCTGGGCCAGGAGTGCTGAGTGCGTCTCCTTGGGGCTTAGGGACTGGGTTTGATGGGAGATTCAGGGGTCACTCTGAAGGTGACATGGCTTGGGGCCACCCTCCCACCCATCCAGCTCCTGGGACCAGAGCAAGAAAGCCAGCCTCCCTGGTGAGCTAGGAGTGCCCAGGGGTGCCTGCCCCTTTGTTCAAACTGTTCTCTGAGGCCCCTGAAATGCAGGGGGCTGCAGGGTGTAGGGAGGATGTCCTGGGCATGTCCAGCAGGCTCTGGGCGGAAACCCTGCTTTGCAGATGTGGACAGAGCGTGGCCTTGAGCCTCCTCCGGCTGCCCCTCTTCCCACAGGGGTGGCACAGGGCTGTCTGCTCACCCTGACCCTGGCATGCTCAAAGCCTTGGGTGGGTGGGCCTCTGGCTGGTTCTTGGGACTTGGGTGGGGAGGGCTGGGCCTTGCTTTGGGTGCAGTGTCTGAGTCTAAGAGGGGGTCCTGAGCAAAGTGCCTTCCCATGGGAACAGGGCTTCTCAAGACTGGCTGTCTTGTTTCTGCATCTTCAGTGTGGGCCCTCCTCACCTCCCAGGGCAGTCCAGGGCATTACCTGGTGTCCGGTGTGTGAGGCACACGGTAAGGCCTCCTGTAAGTAGAAGCTCTCCGTAGAAAATTGAGGCTCCAAGTGGGGGGCACCTTTCAGGACCCCTTGCCTGGGTGGGGGAGGCCAGCTCTCTGATGGTCAGAGCCCTCTGAATAAGTTTATCTGAGTGGCACCAAGGCTGAGATTTGGCTTACGGCATGCGCACTGTGTGAGCTGAGCATCTCTGCCTTCCTCTGGGCCTGTTTTCCCATCTCTCATTGAGGGGCTTGTCAGGGGGTATCCTCAGGGCCCACCAGCTCAGATAGTCAGTGATCCTCAGGCCAGGGTCATGGCACAAGCTTTCAGATCATCAGGTCGCTTTGTGAAGTATCTCCCCTGCCCCACCTTGGTTGACTCTTACCCTCCCCTCCCAGTCCCCCACGCTGGGATGTATTGAATTTCAGTGCCTGTCGGGGCCTCAGGAATCGATCAGCTAGGTTGTCATCACTGAGAAAGGCCCCGGCTGCTGAGAAACCGCTGCTCCCCGGGGCCTACTATCAAAGGATGCTGCCGCCCGGGACTAGAGATGGTCGGGAGACATAAAGGCCGGGGGAGGCGGCGGGGAAGCCACCAGGCCAGAATAGCCACGTCGCGGCTGAGTTGTCCAAACACAGGAAGTTGTGTCTGCTCAGAGAAGGCAAAATCAAAGGGGCAGCCCAGAAAGGAAAGGCTATTTTCATCTTTCCAGAAAAGCTTCAAACAATCAAGGGAGGGGCCCCTGTCACCAGACTCCAACTTTGGGAACAGGCGTCTGAGACACAGAGACTGGAGTCCCTCTCCGCAGCCTAGTAGGGGAGAGAACAGAGCACTTTCTGGCTCATTTATAAACAAACACAGTGGCTTGAGAGCTTCTGCCTGGGGAGCCCAGGAGCCTGTGTCTGGCCAGGCAGCTGGGCCGAGGACCCCGAGGAGCGACAGGCGGTCTGGAGCACCCTGGCGGCAACTCCACAGCCGTCACCAGCCCCAGTCTAGCAGCTCCGACTTTCACAGTTGAGAGGGGCAGTGTCTTCCTTCCAGATGGAGGCAAGTGAAGGGTTGGTGGTTCAGCGATTTCCTGGGTGTTCCGCTTCCTTGGTGCTACTTCCAAGAACGGAACCCGCTAGGCGTTGCATTGTTGTGCAAATATATGCAGGGTTGTGTTCAAGAGTTGCATCTGCTCTGCCCTACACGTGCTGCTGCGAAGTATGTGGGCAGCTCCTCCAGAAATACCTTTGGTGCTTAAAATCCAAAGGGTTATTTTGAACCAGGCCCGCTCTTTCTTGAGTCAGGCATGAGTCATGCTGCCTGCTGGCTCAGAGCGTGTAATGAGATAAAGATGGCAGAGTGTCTCCCGGGGTGGGGGTGGAGGGGCATGGACTGGATCTTTCTGTCTCTTTTTGTTCTTGGGGAGAATTTAAAGCTGTTGAAAGTTGTTGGGGACCTGGTCAGCACAGTTCAGCGTTTTTCTGAATCAAGCATTAGGGGTCGGTCTTCCGGGTTCTCCCTTCCATAAAAGGACTTACTCATCCCCGTCTGGGTGCTGTGAGTGGCCCCCATTGGGGCAGCTTTCCAGGTTTCCAGGGAACTTTTGTTCTGAGATGACAGGGTCTTGGGAAACCCCCCACCCACCCCCATTTTAACGTTTCCTCTAATTTTTAAAGAGGGAGGAGAAAGCTTTTTCCAGAACCTTCCCCTTGAAACCTGTGATGGGTTGGAACAGACTCCTGGCTTGAAGCTCCCAGGTGAGGGAGGCTTTGGCCCCCTGGCTTTGGTCCCCATCCCTCTCCTGTCACTCCTCCGCTCCCTCCCTCAGTTTAGGGAGCCACACTGGTGAATTCACTGCTGAAGCTCCTGTGGGTAGATGATTTCTGGAGTCTCAGATGTGCGGTCAAGGCAACGTCCATCCTAAAAGTTCTGCTTGGCCTTGGCATCCTCCCATTCCAGCCCAAGCAAAACAGAAGAGTGATCCTCACCCACTTGCCTAACAACCTGTAAACTCCCCGTTCAATCCAAACCCATGTTCTATCATGGAGTCATCAGAAAGCCTTTCCGAATATAATGCTCTAAACCTGGCCACCCCCAGGGGACTGAAGGTCCAGAAGAAGGACCTGTGACCTGGCCCACATTTCAGCCCAGTGACGTGTGGCGGCTCAGGATCATCTCTAGTCAGCCCCTCTGGGCCCACAGGAAAGTGGAGTGGGGCAGTGCCACCTGCTGCACTGTCCAGTTTAAAAAGGAAGTCAAGGCCCAAAGGACCTGCTGTCCACAGGGCCAGCTTGCCATCGCCCCTTCTCTGGCTGCAGGGCAGCAGGACTCCATGGCGGCGTCCGGGAACAGATGCTGAGCTATGGAGCAGCTGCCTCTGCTTCCCTCCTCCCCTGCCAAGTCCAGAATGAGCCTGCACGTTGGATGTGGAGGTTGGGCCCAGGCACACCTACTGGTTCAAAGAAGCAAACAGTCCTAACAATAGTTGGCTTTGGCTGCGTAGGCTCCAGCCAAGAATCATAGCTGGTGGCTGGCTGGGACCCAGCGGGCCTCCCCCAACCCCAGCAGGTCTGTGCAGCCGTCGCCAACCCAAATTGCTCTGTAGGCTGTGGCCACACCCCTGCCAGCAGCTGAGGTTTTTAATTTTGATAATTGGAGGCTGGATGCCTTGTGTCCCCCATTCCATCGGAGTCCCAGCTGGAGGAGGGGGTAGAAGAGAATTCTGGAACATTCTTAGCACATAAGACACCTTCTGAGGTCCCGTCCCGGGTGGGAAGAAGGAACCCACTAGCCGACGTGAGAAGGTGATAACGAGAAGCCTGTGTGTGTGTGGGGAGCAGCTACAGTGCTGGGGGCCCCACATTCTCAGGCCGCCCGCCGGAAGGAGCTTGGGCAGCTCCCATGCAGTTACTGACATGGAAAAATCCCAGTGTGTGTTCAATCCTAAAACTTGTCTCTCCGTGGGTGCGTCACCCATTCCACTTCAGACAGTGGGGACTCTGACCATCGCAGGTGGACAGGTGTGTGCTTCAGGCGAACATACCCTCCAGTGAAAACTCACTGGCCTGAAACACCGGTGCCCACCAGTGAGGCCTGGAGCTTCTCGTCACCCTCTCTGCTTGATCTTGCTTTCAGGACCAGGCCCAAGGCGCGCAAGCAAGGCGTGAGTCCCGCGGACATGTACCGGTGGAAGCTCTCGTCCCACGAGCCCTGCAGTGCCACCTGCACCACAGGTACCGGTCCCGGGTGCCACGGGTGCCAAGGGGCAGTGACTGCTCTGAGTCCATGTGGGCCAGGGCTGTGGGGCCCACCCATTAGCTTGCAGCCCCAAACTGCTCTCGGGGTGCTTGTCTGGTGGCCTCCTGACTTAGGGGCCGTGTGGCGTGATAGGAGTTTGGGTTCCTGGTGAAGCCATCCTCATTCTCACAGTGGGCTAGATCACGGTCAGGCCCAGGCCCCCGGGGGTCATCCAGGCCACCACCAATGGTCCCTTGCTGTTGCCAGTGATACCATGTTTTGTTAGGGCAAACATCCTTTGGGTTAAAAGTAAGAAATGTCAGGTAGTGGGGATTTTACTTTTGTTTCCAGCAAACATAGGAGGAGAGTCATAGGCTCCTGTGATCTATGACAAAGGGAAGTGGCCAAATTCTAGAACCTCACCAGCAGGGGAGGAGTTAGGAGGGGAAAAAAGACCCTCCTAGGTGGTGCCTGGACAGACAGATGCGTGTGGTTAGTAAGTGTCGAGCTGGGATTTGAACCCACAGCTGTCTGGTTGCACAGCCACGTTGCCCTGAGATGCTGGCCATAGCTGCTGGGAGCTGGGGCTGCCTCTGCCCGCTCTGGTTCCTTCCCCTGGGGGATGCTGCAAGGTCAGATGTCAAACCAGGACCAGGCTGCAGGGGTGTTGCTGGGAGAAGATGTGGAAGGCAGAGCCCTTGTGCCCGCTCGGAGGCTACATCTTATCTATTCTTGGGCTTCATGTTTGCATGTAGATGACACCCAGTGGCCCCTCAAGAGGTTTGATGCTCCTGGCCCCACCCCAGTGTCCCCCATTTGCCAGGGCTTTCGATGCCCTTGCAGTCTCTGGCCAGTGAGGATGCCAGGCAGCTGGGTAGTCTGAGCTTGGCTGCACCCTGTGCAGCCCTGCTGGCATCTCAGGAGGTAGGCCCGAGAGAGGGAGGGTGGAGTGGCTCTGCAGGCGCTGCCGACACTGGCCTTGGCTCTCTGGGGCTGAAGAAAGGGCTCTGTCTCCTGTTATAAGGGCCCCCAAGCAGGGCATAGCCATGGGGCACGCTGTGTTTGCCCCTGTGCCTGGCATTCTGGAGGGAAAAGCAAGTGCTGTGGGCACCCAGGTTGGCCAGGCTTGCACCACCTGGTTGACCACACCACAGGCAAATCATCGAATCTTCCCCCCCAAAACCTCAGTTTCCACAGGTGAACTGGGACGTATACTTATCTCACAGGTGGGTTGTGGGAATCAACATAAAATAAGGAATATTCTCTTGGGCTGGGCTCAGGGGCTCATGCCTATAATCCTAGCACTTTGGGAGGCTGAGGCAAGTGGATCACAAGATCAGGAGTTCAAGACCAACCTGGCCAAGATGGTGAAACCCCGTCTCTACTAAAAATACAAAAATTAGCTGTGCGTGGTGGCAGGCACCTATAATCCCAGCCAGTCGTGAGGCTGAGGCAGAGAACTGCTTGAACCCGGGAGGTGGAGGCTGCAGTGAGCCAAGATCACACCACTGCACTCCCTCCTGGGTGACAGAGCAAGACTCTGTCTGAAAAAAAAAAGAAATAGCCTCTCATGATCAGAGCTTGATGGGTGCTGCCGTGGTGGAGGTGGCTACCACCACCTGACGCAGGCTATGGCTTCCAGCGCACCTAGGAGCAGCTGGCCTCAGATGTGAGCTATGTGGCCTGCCTTCCGGGCAGGCCCCAAGGGGAGCTGAGTATGGTGGTGGGGTGTCTGCAGGGGGGTCTGCTTTGCCAAGTCCATGGCAGACCTCGCCTGAGTTCCTCCACACATCCTGGCCTGGGGACTCCAAGCATGTGGGCGTTGTCACTAAGTGTCTGCAAGCATCTGTGATTCCTCCCAGACACATCGCTGGCTGGGGACGGGACGCTGCGCAAGACGTCTGCAGGCTGAGGCAGCCTCAGTGGCGAGGGGCCTGATGGGCAGCCCTGTATGGAGGATGTCCCCAGGGAGAACACAGAGACTGGTGGGAAGGGGGTTGGTCTGGGTCTGTGCAGGGTGACCCAGGGCAGAGGACAACAGGAAATCAAAAAGCCAGGGTTTGGCTCGGGAAGAAGGAAGCTCTGCTTTAGAGGAGGCTGTTCAGGAATGGAAATGAGACACCCTGTGTAAGTGTGTGTGAGAGAGACAGAGACAGACAGAGAAAGGGAGGCCAGGAGGGAGAGGGAGCTTTCCCACCATGGCTGGAGCTCGGGGCAGGCTGACCCGCCCCACCGTTGGAAGTGTCCCTCGCCTGGATTCTTGCGAGGCACAGGATGGGGAGCAGAGACTCCGCATGGGACATCTACACAGACACAGCCTATGCAGACCCTGATTCTGTTATTTCTGCCCAGTGCCATTCAGCACCTCCCATGGTGACAGAATCAGGGTCTGCATAGGCTATGTCTGTGCAGATGTCCCATGTGGAGTCTCTGCTCCCCATCCTGTGCCTCGCAAGAATCCAGGCGAGGGACACTTCCATCGGTGGGGCGGGTCAGCCTGCCCCGAGCTCCAGCCATGGTGGGAAAGCTTGTTTTTCTATTTTTCTTTGAAGACGATCTTTGGCAGCCACAGCAACAGAGGAGCATGATTTCAGCCTTGGGTTGGGTCACAGGCGGAGGTTTCTGCTGCCCTTCAGGGCTCCAGGGCGCTGGGGTGAGGACCGTGATCTCGCAGCGCCCCCGGCTTCATTCTCCCCTTTCTTTTGTTTCCAGGAGGGGCTCTGTGGCTCAGGGGGTTTGAAAAGCACCGTTTTCGAGATGGGTGTCATGAAGAGGGTGCCCAGAAAAAATGTCCTGGCATTTGATTCTCACAGGCTCTCTGGAAGGTTCCCATTTCAGGAAGGAGCAAGCTGAGGCTGGAGTCTGGTTATGGTCATATCACCCCAGGGAGGCACTGAGCTGGGACTTGAATTCCGGTCTCTCTTGACCAAGGCCTGCTCTCCGTGATGGGGAGCAAATGAATAACCAGGCTCTTGGCAATGGCGAGTCCCCAGCCCCGCACCTCCCTGGGCCCCAGAGCGCGTGTCTCTGAGGCCTGGAACATTCCAAGCAGACCTGGCCAGGAAGCCAGCCTCCCGCTCAGAGAAGGCCAAAGGCTGCACGGCCCAGCTCTGGCGGGAGAGGAACCATGATCGCAGCCTGGCTCGTCCTTTACGGAAAAAAGAAAAAATCCCCTTGTCGGCTGCTTCCCAGGCTGTCTCGTTCCATCCAGGGCTGGGGCCTGGAGAGGCAGGAGCCGTTGGCCACAGACACGCGCCACTGGGTGGCTGGGCTCTCTGGGATGGGGAAACCGATTTCCTTCTGGGGGAACTGGCAGCCGCAGCCAAGACCGTTCCATGATGCCCATCATCCCAGAAGCCTGGGTCTGTCTCCCGAGGCCACACACACACACACACACACACACGCACAGCGTAAGCAGCAAACCCTAACCCCACCCCAAGCCTGTTCCCGCTGCTGCCGGCTCTCCCAGAATCACCCTTCTTCTGGGCAGGGAGCTGGGTCTGTGTGGCAGCTCGGTGCCAGGGAGGGGTGCAGAGGGGAGGATAGAAGCAGAAAGGGGGAGGTGTGGTCAGGGAAGTGGCACTGCTAGGTGAGGGCTGCCTGTCACCCACTGTAGAGAACGGGGCACCAACAAGGACAGCCACACAGCGATGACTGAAGACAGTTCAGGCCGGGCACGGTCGCTCACTGTCACACCAGCATTTTGGGAGGCCGAGGAGGGCGGATGACTTGAGGCCAGGAGTTCTAGACCAGCCTGGCCAACGTGGTGAAACCCAATCTCTACAAAAATACAAAAATTAGCGGGGCATAATGGCAGGTGTCTGTAATCTCAGCAACTTGGGAAGCTGAGGCAGGAGAATTGCTTGAACCTGGGAGGGGGAGGTTGCAGTGAGCCGAGATGATTGCACCATTGCATTCTAGCCAGGACCACAGAATGAGGCTCTGTTTCAAAAAAAGTAAGTTCGAGATGATGCTTGCTGAGTACTGGGGCATACCACAGAGGGGAGGGAGGGCCCAGACACCCACCATGACCTCTGAGGAGGCTAGCGGTGCGGGAGCGGTCAGGTTTCACTCCCGCCTGCCCGTTGCTGGGTGGTTGTTGAACGCCTGGTGATGGGGGCCACCTGGCTGTGTTTGCCTCTGCACCTCCATGGGGGCCAGTTGAGCCAACTCAAAGCCCGGACTCTGTGACATGGGAACTGGGAGCCCAGCCTGGGTTGGGTGGGGCGGGGGTGCAAAGGGAAGAGCTCAGACCCACACAGCTCAGACCCACAATGTTGCCCTCATGCGGCAGTTCCACAAGCTGTGACTGATCCCTAAGCCAGAAAGCTGGGCCGAGAGGTCAGGTGACTTGCTCCAATCCTGTGGCCTGTCTGCTGGCCTCCAAGGTGCCGGCATGGCTCACAGACCCTCCCCTGTCCTGAACCCAGGGGTCATGTCCACGTACGCCATGTGTGTCCGCTACGATGGCGTCGAGGTGGACGACAGCTACTGTGATGCTCTCACTCGCCCTGAGCCTGTCCACGAGTTCTGCGCCGGGAGGGAGTGCCAGCCCAGGTACCTGCCATGGTTGGCCCTGGGTGGGGTATTGGCAGGGGGCATGCCGGGCTCTGCCCACAGGAGCAGTCAGACTTACCCCCCTGCCCCTTAGAGGTACTTTGTGTGCAGGGTCGTGGGGGCCCCTCGAGGAGGGGCATAGAGACCTCGCCCCTCAGAGACCTTCTGAGTCTTCCCAGGAGTTGCAGTTTAGTCTGTCACTGTGCCTTGTACACAGTAGGTGCTCAATAAATGCTTACCATAGATTTAGAAACCATTCTCAACATTACTCTAGCTATCTTTGCCCCACCAGGCCTACTTGGCGCATGCTTTTTATAAGCCCGAAGGGATTATTGCTGAGATTCCATGCCTGCTGGCTGTCCCTTGGATGTGGGTGAAGGCTTGTTTTCTTGGCCTTTGGGCCTCGCCTCCTGCCTTGTGGAGGCAGTCAGACTGAGCACCCCTAGAGACAAGTGGGGTCCCTAGACGAGCCTAAGAGTGCCGGCCTCCCCCACCAAGGCTCATGTGCTCCTCAGAGGCCGAGCCCTCCTGCTGCCTAAGCACAGACACGCTGCCTCTTTTCTGGCCTGCTCCATCCCAGGCCTCCCACTTCCTGCACTTTCGCTCCCTTCTGGGATGGGCAGAATGCTTAGGGTCCCTAGAATGCTGCTAAAGCCAGCCCCGGGTGGTCCAGCAGGACCTGTCCTTCCTCTCAGAGCCCATCAGCTTTGGACCTCTTATTCCAAGTCTGTCTGCCTGGAAGGCTTCAGGGTCTCATCGTAACCCACCCAGCTTAGGCTGAGGAGAACGAGAGGTCTCTCCCCCAGCATGCTGGCCAGGCCCCCTTTCTGGACACACATCCAGAAATGTGCCTTCTGCTCACTTCCACCCTCGCCAGAGTCCCATGGGGGCACAGCCACCTGTGTGACACAGCAGGGCACGAAGCGGCAGGAAGGCTGAGCACATGCTCAGGGCACCTGCCGACTACCCTGCCAGGGTGCTCCCTGAAGACCACCAGGGCCATCATGGCTCAGCCCGCACCCTTGCCAGCCTCCTGTCCGGCTCAGCTTGTTGCGGTTTTGGACCACATGGGGGAGGGAGGGAGGATCTGCATTGTCTCTGGGAGTGTGGGTTGCATGGGGTCCTGCTGTCACTTCGGGGTCGCTGAAGGCCATCTGCTCCCGGGGCAGATGGGAGACGAGCAGCTGGAGTGAGTGTTCGCGCACATGTGGAGAGGGCTACCAGTTCCGCGTTGTTCGCTGCTGGAAGATGCTCTCGCCCGGCTTCGACAGCTCCGTGTACAGCGACCTGTGCGAGGCAGCCGAGGCTGTGCGGCCCGAGGAGCGCAAGACCTGCCGCAACCCCGCCTGCGGGCCCCAGTGGGAGATGTCAGAGTGGTCGGAGGTGAGCATATGCGGGAGCAAGCTGGGGGCTGGAAGGGCCGGGGAGCTGGGCTTGGGAGCTGGAGATGGCCGCACCTGTGTCACGCCTCCCCACCCCCCTGCCCCCTGCCGCTGCAGTGCCCTGCCAAGTGTGGGGAGCGCAGTGTGGTGACCAGGGACATCCGCTGCTCGGAGGATGAGAAGCTGTGTGACCCCAACACCAGGCCTGTTGGGGAGAAGAACTGCACGGGCCCCCCATGCGATCGGCAGTGGACCGTCTCTGACTGGGGACCGGTGAGGGCCGGGCTGCAGGGAGGCCTGCACCCAGGGGTGGCTGGGGTGTGCGGCTGGTGAGAGGGGACCCAGAGACTTGTCTCAATGTGCCTCAGTTTTCATTTTTTCCAAGGCAAGCATGAGGTGAAGAATGCCCAACCAGCCTTCTCCCCCGTAATTACAGGAATCAAAACCTCTCCCCAAACAAGTGGCCAGCATCACCCTCCCTCTGTAACCTGTTTGTCTCTCAGTGTCTCTGTCTGTCTTTATCTCCCTGACTGTGTCTGTGTCTCTGTTCCTCTGTATGTCTGTCTCTGTCTCTCTGTCTGTCTCTATCTTTCCCTGTCTCTGTCTCTCTCATTGAGAGAGAGCTGCTCAGATGCTAGCTGGGGTCCCCTCTGGGTGGTGGGTGCACAGATGATCTTTTTAAGTGTGCTTTTTTCTCTATGTGCTATTCATCAAGCATGCATTATTTCTGTAATTAGAACAGAAAATGTTATTTAAAAAGTGGTTACCATGGCAACCGCTTCGACACTGCCTGGGAGCCACTCCTCTCCTTTGGGACTGACATCCAGGGCCCCTCCTGGCATGGCTGCCTCTCACCCGGTGTCCCCTGCCTGCCCTTCCCCCCTGCAGTGCAGTGGAAGCTGCGGGCAAGGCCGAACCATCAGGCACGTGTACTGCAAGACCAGTGACGGACGGGTGGTACCCGAATCTCAGTGCCAGATGGAGACCAAGCCTCTGGCCATCCACCCCTGTGGGGACAAAAACTGTCCTGCCCACTGGCTGGCCCAGGACTGGGAGCGGGTGAGTACCGCAGAGCCCACTGGAGGGCCTCCCTGTGCCCGGAGAGCATTTGGCTAGAGAGGAGAGCCAAGTGGCTGGGACAACAGATGGGTGAAAAAGAGGAATTCACCGCACATTATGAAGGCACAATTTCCTAAAAATCATTCTAGAATACAAAAGGCTTAAAGGGTAGGAAAACACTTGATAGGTTCCCAAATCCCAATTTTGCATGTACTCAGTGATTCGTGCAGAATTGGCATCACCCCCAGCCTGGGCCCCCAAGTCCCTGGAATGTGGAAGGCTAGGGACAGGGATTGTTTGGGCTTCCTGCTGCTGGCACAGCGGCCTGCACAACCTTTGATGGTGACCATTGTGTCTTCCCACCCACCCGGCATCGTCACCAACTTGCCGTTTCAGACGCCTTGCTCTCTGCAAATTGCTTTCAACCAGCAGCCTCAGGCAGATCCCTAAACCAGATAATCTCCAGCCAAATTGTTTTCTGCTAAATTGATTTTGGCCAAATTGTCATTAGCCAATTTGTTTCAAAACAGATGGTTTTGTGCTAAATTGCTTTTTATCAAATCCATTTGGGGCCAAATGGTTATCGAACAAAGAGTTCTCGGCCAGTCTGTTACGCACTGGAGCATTGTCACCCAATTGCTGTTGACCAGACCCTTATCAGCAGAGTTGCCATGGGCCCCGTGTCGGGTCCTGCTGGGCCCTGGCGCTCACCAGCTCCCTCTGCCCTGGCCTCAGTGCAACACCACCTGCGGGCGCGGAGTCAAGAAGCGGCTGGTGCTTTGCATGGAGCTGGCCAACGGGAAGCCGCAGACACGCAGCAGCCCCGAGTGTGGGCTCGCCAAGAAGCCTCCGGAGGAGAGCACGTGCTTCGAAAGGCCCTGCTTCAAGTGGTACACCAGCCCTTGGTCCGAGGTTTGTTCCCGCCACCCCTCTGAGGCTGCCTGAGGCCAGGCCTGATTTTTGATCCTGCCCCTCCTGCCTCCAACTTCCTTAAGTGCTTCCCACCCTCCTCCCCAACAGCCTCTGTCGGAGCTTTCCATCCCAGGAAAGCTTCTCAACTCCACCACATCAGCTGGTGTGAGAGCCACCGCCTCCAGGAAGCCTTCTCTGCTCTTGTCCCTGGGATCCCTACAGCACTGGTCCTGGGCCTTTTTGGGCCCAGGAACTCTGGCCTATGAGTTGCGTGTTTGGCAGCCCATGTGCCTGACACCATGGGATAGACAGACCCCAGGTGGGCACAGCGGGCAGACTGGGCTGAGTCAGACACGGGCCTGACCCTTCAGGATCCAAGGCAGGAGCTTGGGATTTAGGGAGATGGTAACAGACATGTGCCCCAGGTCAGGACATGGGCAGGCCAGAAGAAAGGCAGCAAATCTCCTACGTGGGTCCCACCCCTTTGAGTTTCCTAGACGATTGAGCCTCCAGAATGCCCAGCTCCAGGATGTCAGGCAGGACAGAGCTGAGGTCTCGGCTCTCTGTGGAGGGGAGCAGAGCCTTCCCATCCCAGGACCTTGAGGCTCGTGTGGTAGCTCTGGCCCAGCTCTTGGCCTGAAGAGTCTCCTCTCCCCCAATAGTGCCATGAGGAGGGGCCCTTTTCCCCATTCCTCAGAGGAAGAAACTGACATTCAGAGAGCTCTCTGGCCCACTTGGGGTCCCACAGTTACTGGGGGCTGTAGCAGACACTGTTGCTCAGGCCTGTCCGGCCCTAGAGTGAACCTCAGGTGGGGTGTGGCATCTGTAAGGGAAGAGAGGCGTGAACCAGCTCATCCTGAGGGGCCCAGAGCAGGGAGCCCTGAGGTGGGTGGGCAGCCCTGGTTTCACAGAGCGGGTGACAGGCTGAGCATCCCCTTGCCCCAGTTGTCTCGAAGAGCAAAGAGATTGCTTTCACCTTCCCTGCTGTGTTTTCCTTCCCCTCCACTTCCCATGGGACCTCCAGGTGACTCCAGGGCCCCGCCCTGAGCCAGTGGGCGCCCCTCCACCTTCTGGGCCCCTGGAGGCCGATCTGTCGAGACTCCAGCTTGAGTAACTCACATCCGCCTCTGTGCCCCTTTCACAGCATCGCCAGCCTTGGCCCCAGCCCCCTCCCACCTAGCGATGCCGTCAGCTTCTGAGAGGGGCACCTGGGGCATCCACAGGGTCTCTGGGAATGACTGGGTGGGGACTGCCATAGCCAGGCTGTGTACCTGGGCTCTCCAGCTACCTCTGGCCTCTGTTTCCTCATGGGCCAACTCTGAATACCCAGGCAACAAAATAGGGGTGTCAGATGGGACTCAGAGCCTGAAGTGTTCTTGTGTCTCAGGCCCTGGTGCCCGAGGGCTCCACATCTTGGTTGCTGTGATGGGTGGGTGCCAGATCCTAAACCTTATGAGTTCAAGGCACAGAGTCCGAGGGTCTGTGAGGACTGAGCTGGGGACCCCAGCGCAGCCCTGCTCAGAGTGGGGCCCTGGCCCTGGGCTCTGCGTGTACTCTGCGTGGCGTGTGGCCTTTATCCTGCCCCTGCCCAGGGCCTCTGCCTGCCCTACAGCACATACGCTTGTGCAGGAGGAAGGACAAACACTCGCTGATTCCCTGTTGCCTGCTGAAGGACCCCCCAGGCAAGGAGGGGAAAGGCTGAGGGCAGGCCTGGGGCTTCCCAGGGGAGACAGGGGCTGAGCCAGGGCCAGAAGGCGGGGCAGGCTTTAGTCAGGAGTCAACTGGAGAGACCACAGTGTGCTGGGGCAGGATGGCTCCTTCTGGAAAGGCCAAACCTGGTGGGAGGGGAGAGTGGGAAGGGGCGGGGAGGCTGAGTGGGGTTCCAAGGCCCTAGGGAGCCAGCTGAGGCCTGTAGTTTAGGAAGAGGGCTGGCTTCAGATGGGGGCCACTGTGGAACCAGGAAATAGGGACTCTCTAGGTGCAGGTACCTTGCTGGGTGATGAGCATGGCATGGGGGAGCCATGCAAGGAAGACCCCAGAAGAACACCCTGGAGTGCTGGGGAGGGGAACCCCCAGCCCCGATGAGGAGGTGGCAAGGCCGGACGAGGTATGGCTGGCAGAGACAGCCAGTGAGCACACACAACCACCTCCTTACTGGTGGTTGCCCCAGTGCTGCTGCATAGTGGTGGCTCAGTCAGTGTTTGTTCCCCTAGCTGCCCAGTCCCATCCACACCCCAGGGGTAGAGGAGCTGGCACCAGGGCTGGCTGGGAACGTGCTGCTCTCCAGAGGCACGTCCAGAGGCTCCTCAGGACACTGCCAAAGGCTGACTGTCCTCACGCCGTCAGTGCCAAGCCAGCCTCTCCTTGCCCGCAGACCGTGCCAGCCCCCACCCCCTGGCTCGGAACAGGCAGGCGGGCGGCCGTCTTTCTGCCAAGTCTTAATCAGTCCTCCCCGCTCCTTTGCAAACAGAAGTGGAGAGTGAGCTCCAGGGCTGGGGCCTTCCACCCCGCCCACCTCAGAGAACCGAGGGTTGGGGTCCCAGACGTGCCTGGGTGATGTGGGGTCACCCACGTTGGGGGAGTGTGAGGGAGCCACTGCCTGTGGGATCTTGGCAGAAGGACAGCAGGGTGACTGCAGCCAGCAGATGTCTCTGGTATTCTGGGGAGCTCAGCGGGGTTTTCCAAGGGGAACATCTGGACGGAGAGCCACTGGAGGGGTGGGTGGCTTCTCGAGATGCATTCTATCGGCTTATGACAAACGGTCTACACCACAGGCCCAGGAGAGCTGGGCCCAGAGGACCCTCTGGGAGATGAGAGAGGAGGGACCATCCCTCACTGTGCACCTGGGGAGACTGAGGCAGCCCTAGGTGGGAGAGAATCAGAGCCCCCTGACCACCAGCCAGTGTCCTTTGGTCTCCACCTCAGCTCAGCCTGGGGCTGCAGGTCTGGTTTCCAATGTGCTTCCCTGGGTTCCGTGTCAGCTTGGCCCACAGCTGCCTGGGAAAGGTGGGATGGGGAAGTGTGAATGTGCAGGTTCCCCACCTCCTGCCCAAGCCGCGGCCCCATCAGGGGGCTTTCCCCACACCCACTGTCTCCCACACCAGTGCACCAAGACCTGCGGGGTGGGTGTGAGGATGCGAGACGTCAAGTGCTACCAGGGGACTGACATTGTCCGTGGCTGCGACCCGCTGGTGAAGCCCGTTGGCAGACAGGCCTGTGATCTGCAGCCCTGCCCCACGGAGCCCCCAGGTGAGGGTCGGGGAGGCAGAGGTGGGCCTGGGGCTTCTCAGGGAGGTGAGGGCGGAGCCAGGGACTGAAGGATGAGCAGCCATCGCTCACCTGGATGGTGAGCCTGGGAACCAGCTTGAGAGACCAAGGTGTGCTAGGAGTGGAGGCTCCTCCCGGCATGGCTGAGCCCCACTGAGAGGGGAGAGTGGGAAGGGGGATGGGGGAGGCCGGACTGGGGCTCCACAGCTCCAAGGAGCCATGCGGAGACTCATACTTTGGGGAAAGTGTCAGCTTCAGATGGCAGGGTCACTGTGGGGCCGAGCTGAATCCAGGATGATTCAGCTGGAACGGCCAGGGGCTGGGACATGGGGCAGGAAGGGGAGCAACTGAAGCAGGGCCTGGGCACCTGAAGGCGGGACAGGGGACAGGCTCCAAGAGGTGCCAGGTACAGGGTGTGTGATGAGTTCTGCTTTGGATACACTGAGTGGTGGATGGGGCAGTCCCTGGGGACCCCTTGGGGATGCTTAGCCCTCGGGTGCGACTTCTGTAGCTCTTCTAGACCCCAGCCCCAGGCCTCACCCCTCTTGGGACACAGATCAAATCACCTGGCATGACTGGGGAAGGTGACCACTTGGGGACAGATAGGGGCTAGGAAAGAGGTGGCAGAGAGCTAGAGATGGGAGGTCTGTGTGGGGTAGGAGGCCCGCTGCCCCTACCCCTGGAAAAAGACATGTGAGGGTCCTTGGGGTTTTCGCCCCTTGGCCACCTCCTGAAACTGCCCCGCTTCGCCCTGTGTTCCTTCTCTAGATGACAGCTGTCAGGACCAGCCGGGCACCAACTGTGCCCTGGCCATCAAGGTGAACCTCTGTGGGCACTGGTACTACAGCAAGGCGTGCTGCCGCTCCTGCAGGCCCCCCCACTCCTAGGTGCAGCAGCTGCAGCCCCTTCCAGACAAAGACCAAGCTGCTGCAGCTTCTGGGGCCCTCCACAGACACCCCTCCCGCAGGGCATGCCGGCCTGAGGGACGTGGCACTGAGCCTCGGCTGTCGAGAGGGGCTTCCCATGGCCCATGGACTTTTGTGCTCCTGGGGCAGAAAAGTGGGCACTGTCCTCCAGCACTCACTGGCCTCCACCCAGACAGAGCCACCCTGCCGTGGGAGCCCATCCATGTTCCTGCGTGGATCCTGTGTTCGTGGCTCTCACTCCCCGGCCCCCAGCAGCCCCTAGCCGAGGGGCCCAGGGCCCACAGCCAAGCGGCCCAGGGCCCACAGCCAAGTGGTGGTCGTATCTTACCCCTGGCCTGAAGCCCATGCCCTCTCTGGGTGACACGGCCTTCTGAAGGAGACTAGCAGGCAAGGCCAACATGGGGAGCCTCCCTCCCTCAGAGGCCGGGGGGTGAGGAGGGGTGCAGGCAGCAAGGAGGCCCAGGTGTACCCCCTCCTATGGAGCCCCTCCCATGGAGCTCTCCTCCTGCTGCACTTTCTACCCCCGGGCAGAGGCGCTTGCCCACGGGGCGTTTGGGATGGACCTCAGGCCCCGCCCCTGCAGTCGGGTCAGTGCTCATCTATGTTAATAAAAAGGTCCTATTTATGGCAGCATCGTGGGGTCTCAGTTGCTTCTGGCTGGAGGAGTGGGCAGCCTCGGGGCTTGGAGGGCCCAGGCATGGCCATGTGGGGTCTCTCCAGTTCACTGAGGTCTCAGGTGTGGGGCGAGGAGGGTGCAGGTGGAGGCCACAGCACCTACTCCAAGGAGAAAGATAGTCAGGTGCAGAGCGAGGCGACCAGAGGCCCGGGAGCATGTGGGGAGGGCGTTTGGGGGCACCAGGACAGGCGCTGGAGTAGGAGTGGAGTTGACATCTCGAGTCCATCAGCAACTGGTACAGGAGCTGTGGGGCAGGGGCTGGGGACCTTGGCTAAGGTGTGGGGCACCCACTGGCAAGCGCGTTGGGAAGAAGAGGAGACCAGGCAGGTGTTGGGGGCATGGGGCTGGGCCCACTTTGAGCCTCAGGAAACAGCACCGTCACTGCCATTCCTGGACCTCAAGGGGGGCTTCCTGACCTGGACGTGTGGGTGCAGGGACACAGGGGCCTCTGGGGAGGGGCTGTCAGCTGACCAGCAGCGGGAGTGGCTTTTCCCAGACGAGAGGGTGGGAAAGAGCACCCAGCAGAGGAAAAGCGACACAGCCGGAGGATGCTGCATGGGAGGAAGGACGGGCTGCACCGCCGGAGAGGACCCCAGGAGGTGTCTCGGTGCACACAGTCACCCGGGAGGTAAGCGGGTGCCAGCTGCTTCCTTGATGTGAGGCCAGCTTGTCCTCAGACTGGGAGCCAGAGCAGGGTCCATTGCAGCCTCAGGACAGCTTCTGAACGACTTGGGGCTCTGGGAAAACTGAGGCAGTACCCCCCCAACCCCAAAGTGTGTTCTTGCCTCTGAGTGTGACCGCATGCATGTGCGTTGAGGGGCTGCAATCGGGATGGACCTTTCAATCCCTGAAGCCCAGGAGTTAGAGGCCCCGGGATGGACTTCGGCTCAAAGTCACCAGCTTGGGCCAGTCAGAATCGAGTTGCTGAGATCGGGAGTCTGAGGCTTCTCTGCCCACCTCCCCCTGTGCCCGCCCTCACCTCGCTGCTCTTCTCTCCTCTCTCCCCCAACCCACATCTTCTTCCTGTCTTACTTTTTTCCTCCCCGGTGCCTCCTTTCTACCAACACTTATTGTACACTTCCTGTATGCCGGGTTCTGTGGCTGGCACAGGCGTTGCCTGGGTTTATCTTCCACAGGTCCCCACGACACAGGTATCATGATCACCACATTGTGTGGAGGATAAAACTGAGGCCCAGAGATGCTCAGTCACTGTCCCCCCACAACCCTCCGTCCAGGGGCTCAGAGTCCACCCTGGTCCTTTCAGCCCCAGGCCCCAGCCATGCCTCTGCCCAGGACACATTTGTGTTCAATGAGCCTTAGCCCTGCCACAAGCCTGAGTCTCCCCCAGCCTGGGCCGCCCCTGAGGACAGGGATTCGAGGAGGGTTCAGCCAAGTCCCCCTTGGGGCCTGGGGCCACATGGGTGTGCCACGGGAATCCTGCCATGGCAATCCCACCATAGGAATCTCGCCACAGCATGGTCCTCAATGCTGGAAGGTGGGGAGCCACCTGGGAAACTCACCTGTGGCCCACTGCCTTGCCCCCAAGCCCGAGAACAGCTCTCGGCCCCACCTGCAGAGTACTGGCCCCGCTGGCTGCATCCCGGGGAGAAGCTGACTCTGCCTCCTGCTGGGTAGAAGAAAGTCCCTCCCAGAAGGCTGGAGAGTGTGGACGGCCTGGATGCCTGGGTAGACTGAAGACGCTGCGCAGGAGTGTGGGAGATGTTTTATTGGCTTTCACTTTCCTCAGGGAGCCAGCAGCTCCCCAGCAGGTCCCCACAGGGGAGCTGAGTAGGCTGGGCGGGGGGATGGGTGCTTACTTCAGTTCAAAGAGATCTACATATCTACAGAGGGGACAGAGACCAGAAAGGAAGTGGGAAATGGAATCAGAACAGCCACAGCACGGGCCAGCTCTGGGCCCTCACCCCGACCCACCCAGCCCACCCCCCACGCTAACGCATCAGAAACAGACTTCACAGATGCACAGAGGAAGCCGGAGGTGTGGGTGGGCCAGGGGCCGGGGCTTCGAGGGACCTCAAGGGTGAATGCCACTGGACTGTCCCAACCAGGCAGGGAGAAAGTAGTAGGAGGAGAACAACAGAACAGTAACGACTGTGTCTCCACCAGCACTTCTAGCGCCTCCGGAAACGGGGGACTTTGTTTTTGAGTAAGAGCAAGTGTCCTGCTCAGGCCACCTCCACCCCTTGCACCCCCAACCCCCGCAGCTCAGGAAGGCCACTGGCCTGCAAAGCTTTGTCTTTTTTTAATTTTTATTTTTTTGAGACAGAGTCTCACTCTGTCACCCAGGCTAGAGTGCAGTGGCATGATCTCGGCTCACTGCAACCTCCGCCTCCTGGGTTCAAGCGATTCCCCTACCTCAGCCTCCTGAGTAGCTGGGTTTACAGGTGCCTGCCGCCACGCCCAGTTAATTTTTGTAGTTTTTAGTAGAGATGGGGTTTCACCATCTTGGCCAGGCTGGTCTTGAACTCCTGACCTTGTGATCCACTTGCCTTGCCCTTCCAAAGTGCTGGGATTATAGGCATAAGCCACCGTGACTGGCCAGCCTTGTCCTTTAGGGGAGTGCCTTCCCTGGGCAGAGATGGGCTGCCCTGGCCCTGGGGCTCCATGGCAGGGCCCAGAAGGAGAGGGAGAGCCCCAGAGAGGGAAGGGGGATCCTGGGGCCAGGTTGCTGAGTGCCTCTTCCTGGGTGAGGAAGAGCTGCTTTCCTGATGGCTGGTGACCCAGGGTTTGGGGGATTTCTCTGGGGTAGCCATTGACGTCATTTCCTTAGCAGCAGGACAGCGGGTGGGAATTCCCAGGAAACCTCAGCCTGGGTGGGTGCTTGGTGGAGAGTGGGCTCAGAGGAGGCCTTCACACAGCAGCAGGAGGTTCCGGCTGCTTGGGGTCCATCGGGAGCAGGGTGGGGCTGGGCTGGGCCTCCTGGGTCCTGCTGAGAAGCAGGTGGGGGAGGTGACCTGCAGCTCTGTCTCCTTGGGGACCTCAGTTCCTGTTGAGACCCAGAGCCTGAAGACCTCCATCCTCAGGGTCCCTCTGGGACCAGCCCCTCATCACACAAGATGGGGAGACCAAGGCCCAGGAGTGGGAAGGGGCATCCAAGTCTCACAGGGACTAGGGGGTTGTCAAACCCTAGGCCTCGGCTCTGCCCACCCTAACTGGCCCCGGGCTGCCTCCTGCCAGCCTGTTTCTGGCTGAGCACTGCGTCTGAGCATTTCCACGCTACTGCTCCCAAGGCAGGTGGGCTGCGACATGGCCTCTCTCCCTCCCACCAACACACCTGTCTGGACTGAGCATCCCAAGGGCCCTGCCGCCCCCGACAGTCTCCCATCTACGGGCAACCTGTCCATCTGCAGGGAGCTCAGCACCTTGTGTCTCAGCCTGGGCAGATGCTTGGCACTTGAAACCGGGAGTGTGTGTGAGAGAGAGGGAGGGAGGAGTCGGGGGAGGGAGGGGAAAGAGGCAGAGAGAGAGGCCCAAGTTCAGGGTGGAGGCGCGGAATCCTTGGTCTGCAATCGCCAGGGTGGGGGTGCCTTGCTGCGGGGCCCCGAGCCTCCCTGAGGTCACCCCTTCCTTGAGCAGGTGAGAAGGCCGAGGGCCAGGGATGGGGTGACCATGGAGACCCCTCGGGTTGGCCAAGTCGCTGGGGCTGAGACAGAAGCGTCAGGAGCAACCATCCTGCCCGGCCCACTGTATGGTCACCTGGTCCTTCCAGCCCAGATCCCAGCTGTGCCTCCCCCTGGACACGTTTGCGTTCAATGAGCCTTATCCCTGCCTCGAGCCTGGGGGCTCCTCAAGCCTGGGCCTCCCCTGAGGACAGAGATTCGAGGAGGGCTCAGCCAAGCCCCACTTGGGACCTGGGACCAGGTGGGTGTGCCACGGGAACCCTGCCATGGTCTCAGGATCTTCCAGGCCAGGGACTTGGTGGCAGGCCCAGGTCACACGTCAGTGCTGATGCTGCGGCTGCGGGCGAAGGCCTCCCGCATGGCAGAGAGGCGGTTGGGGTTGAGCGCCTGCAGCCCCTGGAAGCCCCCCGGGGACAGCTCCACGTCCTCCTGGCTGACACTCTTGTAGAGCACGCGCTCCCCGCCGTTCAGCACATCCTCTTCCTCCTCTGGCGGCTCCTGCAGGAAGAAGGCCGGGGGCTCACAGTGGGAGCAGCTTCGGCAGAGGGCTCGGGCCTGCGGGGACTTCTGGCTGAAGGAGGTGGAAGCGGTGGGGTAGAGCGCCGGCCCGTTGGTTAGCACCAGGTTGCGGTTGGAGTGCAGCGGGGGCAGGTGCGAGTGGACGGCGAAGTCTGGCTCCTCCTCGTCCTCCTCCGGCTCGTCCTTCTTGCAGCAGTAGTACTGCGGGCAGAGGGATGGTAACCCTGTGGCAGCCTGCTCCCACCCCGGAACCTGCATGCAGGAAGGGCTAGCCCCAACTGGGTAGGGGAGACAGGCACAGTGGGCATGGGGTGGCCCAGGCCTGATACCTCAGCTGTTTAACGGGCACTGTGGGCCTCACTCAGGCCAGGCACAGTGCGGGGTGCTTCGCAATGATCCACTCATCTCTTCCACCCAGCAATGCACAGTTGTGACTGTTATTTCCATTTTGCAGGTGGGGATGCTGAGGCATGGAAGGGTCTGCAGCCCATATCAGCAGAGCTGGGGTCACCGGCACGGGCAGCTCTGTTGCCTCGCCCTACATTGATGACTCCCCCTCATCTCTCAGGGAGACACAGGGACCCTGGACTGTCCTGGAGTGCAGGTGGGAAGGGAGGGTCCCTGCGGCACTCCCTTGGGCAGCCGGTGCCCTCAGCTAAGTCCCTTCCCCTCTCTGAGCCTCATTAAAAGCCCCAGGTGAGGGGAGTCAGGCACATCTCACTGAGCCCCACAGTGGGGTCCTGGCTGCCCTCTGCTGAACGTCTCCTCTGCCACAAGGCTCTTCCCTACTTCTTGGGCCTTGACCCTTGGGGCCTTCATGCAGGGCTCCCTCCCGAGGGAGGGGCACCCTCTGGGCTGCCCTGCCCTGTCCCTTTCCCCATCCTCCGGGAGTACCTGGAGCCGGCAGTAGCACAGAACAGCAATGATGCAGAGCAGAATCACAGTCGCCAAGATGCCCCCAGTGATGACCACGGTCCCGGCTGTCATCCGCCCCCTTCTCCATCAACAGCCTGCAACACACGCCGCCAGCTTTACAGCATCACGCTTCCCTACCGCAAAAGTCACCCGTGCTATTCTAGACAACTGAGAAGACAAGCCTTGGGGGAAATAAAGCACCCCAGGATGTGCCTGTGAGAGGCAGGAGCTCTGCCAGCGACAGGCCACAGGAGGGGCCGAGGCCCTGCTCTGCCTCTCCTGGCCTCTGTCCCTGCCCCAGCCTCAGTTTCCACATCCGTAGAAGGTAGACACTAATAGCACGGGGTTTTATGACACTTTTACGAGCATGTCCCTCCATGCTCAGTGTAGCACGCTCTCAATGGATGGCGCCCTTCCAGCCTGGCTCTACAAGCTCGTGCGCAAATGCAGTCACTCGCTCAACAGCCGGTTTTGTAACCTGCTTCCCTGCATTTGTGTCTGACAGGGTCACCATTATTCTTCTAGATCCTCACATCTTCTTCTGCAACATAATCTCAAAGCAGATTCCCTTGTTTAATGCAGCCAACCCCTTTCCTTTACAATGTTTAATTGTGGTGAAACACACATGAAATTCACCATCTTAGCCATTTTTAAGTGTGCAGATCAGGAGCATGAAGTATGTTTCACACTGTTGGGCGACTCATCTCCAGAATTGTTCATCTTGCAAAACTGAAAACCAATTCCTTTCAGATGTGTGGGTTTCTCACATTAAGGAAATATTTTTATCAATGTTTTAATAAGCGTCTTTGTAGCTAAGTCATGGGAACCACCTGAACCTACTTCGGTGGCTTTCAGGACACATTCTTAGACGTGGGATTTCCAGGCCCAGGGACGTGCCCTTTGCAAACTCCTTATTATGGAAAACGTCTGCCAAACACAGCGCAGAGAGCCTGCAGTGACGTGGTCTATCCGTGGCTGCTGGCATTCGGCTCTTCCCTGTCCTGCGGTGAGCTGATAAGCCAGCTCTCAAAGCACCCGGCTGGGAGCATTTGCTGATTTTTGTGCTGTAGATTTTCTTGCCATGGCCAGTTTCAGTTAAAGCAAGGTTTGACAGCCGGCTTACAAAATTCCTGCACGTTTCACTGTCACCTCTCACAAACCAGTCGGAGCCGGCGCCATCACATCCCTTCCTCAATGTCCCAAGCCTCATTTTTTTTTCCTTGCTGGGGGATGGGGTGGAGGAAGAGATTGGAGTATTTAAAGGAAATCACAGAGCATATCCGTTTACCCATAACTACTTCAGTGCAGAATCTGACGGATGAGGATTTAAAAAAATTACCCAGCCTACGTTCAGCAATCTCCTGTCATCTCTGAAATGCCTTTTTTACAGGTGGTTAGTTCAGATCAGGATATTGGCTCATTTTGCTCTAGAACAGCTCGAAACTCATTCACGCCCCTCACCCCCACGCTGTTTATTGGAGAAACTGGGTTGTTTATCTGACAGAATTTTCCACACCCCGGAGCTGGCCGGGATTCCTTGCCTGGCGTTGAACGTGCTCCTTTATCGGTGTTCTCTCAACTGGCTTCCTGCTGCATCTCTTCCAGGGGCCCGGTGTCTGCCGCCCCCTCATCTTGATGTCACCATTCGCTAATGGCCGCAGCTGCCCTTGGCCAGTTCCTCCACTGTCAGGTCCTGTGGGCTCCAAGCACTGCTGCAGCAGGGCTGTGCGTTCACCTGGCTCCGCCGCTTCACCGGGAGTTACAAAGCAGCGAGACTTTCCCAACGTCATCCTTTCTTCCACGCTGATGGGCTCCAGTTCCCCTGAAAAAGCTCCAAAGCACATTCCCTTCTCATCTGTGTGGTTACCCTAGCGTGCAGCCCGCAGAGGGAAGGCTCGGAGCTTCTGTTCCTGCCTTTATCTGGGATCAGAATGAGCTGGTGCCTGTGAGGTTTGTGGATGTTTACAGTATCGATGCAATTTCACTGCTTTTTGAAAATAGATTTAATGTGTTTCAATCCACTTCAGTGGTATTCTTTTTGATGTTCCAGTGATCCCACTGGGACCGTGTGGCACCAGGGGGTGTGGCGCTTACTTTTGAAGATGAGTAAACTGAGGCCTGGAGAGAAGTAAGCTGCCCAGCACCCCAGTAAGATGAAGGGTCTGGGTCGGGTCAGGGCTGGATCCACTGCTCCCATCCACCCTGGGGCCCCTGCCACCCTCCCCTGACTGCTGAATCCCATGTCTCCCCCACACGAATGGCCTGAATGCCACAGCATCTTTGGGGGAGCACACACTGTGCTGATATCAGGTTTTGGGGCGCTGGCCCAGTTGTGGCCCTCTTCTTTGTGCCCTGAGCCAGGAGGCTGGTGGCCACATCTGAGCCATCTACTCCTGACCTTTGGGCCATAGCTTATTGGTTTGGGGTGGATGTGCACATGTTGGAGAGACAGAAGGTGCCGGTCCCCGGAGGGAGCGGGGAAGGCCACAGCCGCAGGAGAGATTGCTGCAGTGGTCCCCGCTCTGCTCTGGGTCCCTCCCGGCACCTGCAGTGACTCCTGCAGTGTGTGTCACCTGGAGTGCATTTGAGCTATTTGCACCCCGTAACTATGGCTCCACTTCATCAATGAGGGCACTCGCACAGCTTGGGAGGGGTTCTGGGAGGTAGTGTTGTCTGTGGTCATGCAGGGATTATAATTCGGCACCACCCTCCACCAGGGCCCATGGCTGGGGCCCACTGACTGATAGTGGGGGCCACGGCGTTCCCATAGGGAAGCACGTGCCTGGGTCAAGAGCTCCCACTGCTGTCAGGCTGAGACTGCAGGGAGGATGGAGACTGCAGGTAGCTGTGGGTGGGCTGAGGAGCTCAGTGATGGGGGGAGCCATACAACACACCCAGGCTGGACTCCCAAGCGCCAGCCTGGCTCTGCCTCTTGTAAGCTGCAAGAATGCGCCACCAATGCCTCCATTCCTCTGCCTTAGTTCCCTCCTCTACAAAGCGGGAGAACCCAGGGGTTCTGTGGGACGGAGGTGCACGTGCTCAGGGCCGTGCTGATGTTATTAGGACCTCTTCCCTCTCTGGGTCTAAGTCCTTCCTCAGGTCTCAGAAAAAGACCGCTTGCTGTAAAGCTCTCTTTCAGGTCTGAGATGCAGCTGGTCCCTGGCTCTGCCGGCTGCAGCTCCTCCGGGCCCAGGTCTCCTCCAGCAGTGAGCGGCCTGGCAGTGTGACGGGAAGGGTGCCGGCTCAGGCCAGGTGCCCAGGGCTGTCAGCAGCCTCCCTCCGACACCCGGGCTGGTCCAGCTGGACCTTCTCAGCCTCGCTCTGCAGATACACGCCCGCCGAGGAGCAGCAACGCCCGAGACGGCGCCAGGTCCCAGGGCCAGGCACAGCCGACAGACACACGCTCCGCCGGCGCCCGGCCTTACATCAGCCCCCAGTTCACTCTGAGCAGCTCCCAGGAGCAATGGGGCCTCCCCGGGCCCCCACCGTCCTGCTGCCCCTCTGCTCTTGCTGCACCCTACCCTCTAGAATGCCCATACTCCTAGACCTACCCCACCATCAAAGGCAAGCATGTGCCCTACTCCTCCAGGAAGACTTCCTGAACTTTTAACGCACACCACAGAACTACAAAACTTCAAATTCCAGAGCTAAGAGGGACCATGTCCCACGTTTTCATTTAATGGGGTAAGAATACGGACCGCCTGCTACCCTCCGTTGAGTGCTCACCTTCAGCCTCCTCCCTGCATGGACCCGAGGACTCTGCTTAGCTGTGGCCCAGGTGACACACGTCTGAGGGGCCTCCATCCAGCTCTACTCTTGCTGGTGACCTTGGGTCAGAGGCCTGTCTCTGGGTTCAGTTTTCTTATCTGTAAGATGGGTGTGGCAGGGCTTAGACACTGATTCCTCCCAACTCTGGGGGACTTGGATTTTTAATCAGCCCTGCCAGGAATCCAGATGATTCAGACAACAACAAAGTCAGGATCACAAAGGTAAAAAAGCATCAAGTGATAAAGTGATAAAGCCAGATGACACCCTCCAAGGGTGGGCAGAGAAGGGAAGGGCTACAGACACTTTGGCTCCCAAGGACACTTGAGCTCTGAGGAAGCTGAGCGCCTGAGAGAACTGGGGAGGACCTGGGTGCTCAGGGTGGTAATGGATCGGGGAGGAACCAAGGGGAACTTCCTGGAGGAGGAAGCTTCTGAGCTAGGCCTTGAAGGATGGGCTGGGAGAAGAAGGAAAGGGCCTATGGGTGCTGGGAACAGCAGAGGCCAAGCCTCGGAGGCAGAGCCATGCCGGGCAGGCCCAGTGACTGCCTGGCGGAGGCCACTCTGCCCCTGCTTGTGACTTGGGCAGCACCCCTCCTCCAGCTCCCTTGAAGCCTCCACACTGCCAGCCGAGACAATTTGGCAAGAATAGTGCTGAACTGTTTAACTGCCCCCTGGGACCATAAATGGTTTTAAAGCTTTATAAATGGCTTTGCCTCCTTGTTCCCACCCCGGGTTTTTACAGGGACAGGTTGTGAGATGGGGCCTCCCCGTGCGTCCCCTGCCCCCATTCACAGAGTTTGTGGTGAAGGGGCCCGGGCAGGCAACAGTCCCCTTCTGAGGGCCGCAGGCAACAGTCCCCTTCTGAGGGCTCTGTCTCATCTCAGCAGCCGGCAGGGAGAGCCAGCTGCACTCAAAAGTTTCAGTTGTCTCCTACGGCATCGAGGACCGAATGGTGTGGAACTGAGGGGAAGGGGATGGGCAGGAAACACCTGGCAGCAGAGCCAGACACTGGCCTCCACCTGCCTCCCCCAGGAGCCCCCTCCTCACACCCGCCTTTCCCTGGCAGGAGACCCCTGCTCACTGCCATCTGGGCCACATGTCCTGTGCCGAATTTCAGATTCTGCTAGTTTTCTGTCCCTCTTGCCGCATCCCCCTCACTTGCTGTAAAGCCTGAGGGGATGGAGCCTCTAGTGCCTGTGGAGTTTGTGCCCCAGCCCCACCCCCGCCACTGCCTTGCATGGTGCAGGGCCGGTGCTATGCTTAAGGAAAGCTTCTGTCTGCCTTGTTCACCTGAGATGCCCAGCGCTCCTCGTAGAAGCCAGGGAGAA